TTGAATTAAATTATTTTATGCTATCACTTCCTATGGGAGAGAAAACTTAAGAAAACAGAAAGTTGGCCCACAGATCAAATGAATTTTTTCCTTTGAAATTTAGTTTAGGATTATCTTCTAAAAATATTTTTAGAACTCAAACATTGTTTAACATGAAAAACATAAATGAGCATGGTAAAACTGAGTATTAATATTAAACCATAATGTTTACAAATTAAATTTTAAGAACTAACAATAACTAATAACAAAAAGAGTATGTTCTTAAAATCAGCGCTAATCCCATCGATGCCATCAATCGATTAAACCCAGCAGCGATGGACAGAGATTTATGCTCAGTTTAGGAATGACCTGATGAGCTTCAATAAAATAAAAAAAATAAAGAAATATCCACCAATGTATTGTTGAATTTCAAAGTAGATATCAATAGGGCAAGTTCCTAAACTCAGCGCTGAGCTTATCAGTGTGGCATCGTTTCACTCAGTTCAGAGACTGATTTGACGTCATCGATGAGATCGGTCTTTTCCCATATAGACAGAAAGTAAATATATAAATATGTGAAGTAAATGGAAATATAACAACAGGGAGTTTTCATGCTACCGATCTATGGATTCCGAAAACCGATGGGATCGCTGAGCCATTGGTGATTCAATCGATGAAAAAATTAAACAGCTGATTTCTATCGATTTATTTAAGATCTTTCTCTAATATTTATATGTTTGTGGGAATGATATTTCCTAAATATCTTTAAAATAATGTACTATCTCAGATTTTAGCCAAATTCTATTAAATCCTAATTATTTTTAAAGTCAATTGTTGTATTGTTCATTAATGTTAACCTTGTAAACTTCGTTAAAAATATAAATATTATGTGATTTTTTTATATTATATAGAATCTCTAACGAATAATTAAATTTTTAAATTTTAAAATACCATCTATTGAATTGTTGAATTTCAAAATAGATATAAATAAGGTGAGTTTCTAAACTCAGCACTGAGCTCATCGGTGGCGTCGTTTAATAACTTCATGCTATCACTTCCCATAGAAGAGAAAACGTGACCACCTTAAGAAAAGAAAAAAATGGACTTAACTCCTTTTCCGTTCAAAATCAATCATACAGCAAATAAAGTTTTTTGTTGTCAATTTAGTCTAGAATCACCCCCCCCCTCACCCTCTCCCTCCAGAGTTTGGTTATTAACAAACTGAGAAATCCTGTATACTATGATTAAAAAATGGTTCAAGATCTTTTTTAGATCTAAAAATTTATTTTTACGTTTACTTCTTGGTAAATTCAGATCTTCAGATCCGGGCCGTACTGATGAGCTTCGGAAATCCATCAAAACGTTCCTAAGCTAACGGATGTAACAATGGGCAACATTCTAGTATCGGAAATCCATCAAACAGTTCCTAAACTCATTGCTGAGATGACTGATGAGTATTGAAAATCCATCAAATAGTTCCTAAACTCAATGCTGAGATCATTGTTGAGCATCAGAAATTCATATATGTATTAACCCTGAAATTATGTAATCGCCCATTGCAACTAAATTATGTAACAAACATTGTAACTAATAAAAAACAATATATATTTAGCATTGATGTTGTTCTTAGAAAAAAATATAATAAATTGTGCTGAAAAAAAGTTAAAAATAGATTTATATTCACAAATTAAATAAATGTCAAACCAAATCATAAATAGGAAAAATCAACCAATCAACCTGCATAAAAAAAATATAGTACTAATAGTAATATAAATATAGAAATATAATAAGTACTAAAAATATATTTTATATATATATATATTGAATTTGAAATAACAAGACATTTAGATTTTTTTTGTAAATAAAAATTTTAACAAAAATGGCATATATTTAAATTACTTTAAATAACATAAATGAGACATATTAGGCCTTGAACTATGTTAACAGAATGATATAATATCGTGTATTGTTGTTAAAAAAAAATTGAAATAGAATTATATAAACAAATAGATAAAAAAAAAAATGAGAATATCCATGCATTATTTAAAATTACTCACAGTAGAAGTTTTCAATATTCTTTCTTGAAATATACTAAACTTCAAGAACAGCAAGAACACTTAATAAGCTTAAACGAACCGACATAAAGACAAATAAAACACTTGAAATATGAAATATAATAACACAGACCGAACACGACAGACTAACACTAATATAGGAATATAGAACTGAGAGGGAAAAGCAGTGGCCAGTGCTGACTTGATAACGCTAATGCTGCATTCTCATTGGCTCTTAATTAATGAGTTACCGCCAAATCTGACCCCAAACCTATCTCTTGGTAAATGTAGGCAAATATTCAGATTTACAACTTTTCTGTGTATTCCACATTCCATTAATATTAAAATATAGTTTATTATCAATATTATTATTTTATTAACAGCTACTCATCTTAAAGCTGGCTAAAGCTTAAATATGGTTTAAATTGATATTATGTAAAGATATATATATAGGGATATTTACTTAACAATATAATTATTTAATTTTTTTAATTATAGTCTAATAATTAAAGAAATTGATTATTGGATATTTGGTTTAACGAGTTATTCAATATTTATTTTTTCAACATTTACTATAAGAAACAGGTAATAAACTCAACTCTAAGCTTATAGCTGGATATTGGAAATCCATCAGCCCATCTCTAAACTCATCGAAACATCCATAAATGTAATTGAGTGCATTCCTTTATTGATCGATTGAATCGTCAATAGCTTAGCGGTCTCATCGGCTGTCGGTGTAAATGTAACTGCTAGACAGGATTTAATTTTTTTTGGAGGGGCTTCATCCGGAAAGTATTTTTTTTTCATATATATATATATATATATATATATAACGATAATTAATTTGAAAACAAAAAATGCTAACTGCCTATATAAAATGTTGTTAACTTGATTCTTGTAGTCCTATTAAATGTAATAATTAATTAAATGTAATAATTTTTAAATATTGTTTTCGATAAAACATGGTTAAAACATTTTACCATTTTGGGAGGGGGCTTCAGACCGAAAGCCTCCCCCCTGCAGATCTGTCTGGGCTACAGTGTAACCTTCTTATAACCTCAGTTTTATGGTTTGTTATGGTTAAGTTCCTAAACTCAGCGCTAATCCATTGGTGGATTTCCGATGCACATCAACTATCTCATTGCTGAATTAAGGAAATTGTCCTATGACTTCATTTACTTCACATATTTATAGTCAATTTACTATCTATATATCTGTACCCCAGAGGTATAGGTCACGTCACATTTTTCTATTTATTTATTCATGAGAGCCAATTTTCCATAACTTTGAACTAATAAAGTTTGTTTCTTAGTTATTAATTTATTTATAATGTTCAAAATGGACATGGTGTTCTTTAGCTTCAAGGCAAAGTTATATTTATTATTGTTTTGAAACTCAGTTTTGTAACCTTCCAGGACTGTTAACTTCAAGCTAGAATCCAGCAGGACGTTTCTAAATTCATTATAAATCTTTATCCATTGGTCATTCTTTCTATACATTAGCACTGAGTTTAGGAACTTATCCTATATCTAGTTTTTATATATTTATCTAATTAATAATAAATTTTGTGCATTTGTGAGCATCATATAGAATGCTTTATAACTTCACATCAGAATTCATAGATAATTTATTATCATAATGTGATTTGTTATTATTTATTATTAGTTACGCATATTAAAAAGGTATTTTTCCATTTCACCTATACCCAATTGTATATATGCAATAAGTAGGGTTAATTTGGTTTGTACCAAACGATTGTTTTAAATATATTTAATTATTCCTGCCTAAATATCTGGCCATGTTCACTAGCGGATCCAGGATTTAATTTTTAGTGGGGGGCTTCAGCCTGAAACCTTTTATTTCATAAAAATAACGATAATTACTGTGGAAAAACAGAAAGAAACTAACTACCTATGTAAAATGGCGTTTAAGTGATTCCTTAAGTCATTTTAAATGTAATTACACGAACACTAATACTTTAAGAGGTATTTTAAAAAAATTTTCCCCATAAAACATGGTTATATTTTACCATTTTAGGGGGGCTTCAACCCGAATCAATCTCCCCCACGTAGATCCGCCCGTGGCTATGTTATAAAATTGAAAGTAGGTAATTAACTATTTAACACTTGCTATAAAAAGAATAATTTTTAAAAATAAATCAATTTACATACAGTTATTAAATATTTGTATTGATGGTTTATTGAAAAAAAAATAATGTAAATAATATTAATTACTGAATTAAACGTTTTTCTATCTCTTGTCCTAAAATAACACAAATAAATTTGGCCTTTCCTGGTATTATTTTAAAAATAATTAATTAATGTAATTTAATTTAAAAAAGAAATTTGAATAAACTTTAAAAATAATTTCAATTTATGTAGAAATTCACTTTAAAATATTTTGATTGGTTAGTTCCGAAGCTAAATCTACATTTTAACTGAAGGAAAATATATAAAAATGCTAAAATAATCCCTGTAGTATATAATATATATTTTTATTATCAACCCAAGTATATTGAACAAGTCCCTAAACTCTGCACTATCTGAACCCGCTGAATTTAATACTGAATTAGGAACGGTCCAATAGATTTTCGATCCCATCGATGACCTCAGCGTTGGGTTCAGTAACTTACCTTATCTCGAACAACAATTTCGTAAATAATATCAAAAATATTTATTTTATTTTATGCTTGGTACCTAATTATTATTTGCATTATTTTTTTATTTTTCATTTATTTTTTTTAATCTGTTTATTTAGAAAATAATTATTTAATTTAGTTTTTAATATGATTATTCATAAACTGATTAATGACATCAAATTTAAATAAAAACTTGAAAAAAGGATTTGGAAAAATATTCTACATCTGCTGAATCCATAAACTGGTAAGTGAATGTTTTGATTTGAATTCAATAGTGCCTCAGATGCCGGACTCATAATTTCATCCCCTCCCGATCTCAATCATCTTCTGGCGCCTTGAAATATTTTAAAAAATATATATATTATTCGATAATGGATTATTATTTAAAATATATTATAAATATTATTACCTCTTCATATTAATATTTTTAATAATTATTGATAAGTTTATCGAATATCTTTTAAATAATAATTTTAATATTAGTTAGGCAAGAACAACACTGACACCTCCGTCACTATGCAGTTGGTGTTGCGTTTTTCAGTAGTTTGGGTCTGAATTTTAATATGTTTTTATTAATTCTGCATTATTTGGTTCCTATTCATTTATAATTATGAATAAATTCATAAGTTGTTTATTTATATTTAACTGTGATGTCTAGTAATATCGTTCACTTATTATGGTTTTTATTATTTTTGTGGATATGTTAGTGTGTTTTAAGTTCAGTGATGGTGTTCTAGATTGTTCTGTTAGTGCAGTGGATGGTTGGATTTGAATAACTGTAAGTACATTTTAAATATTGTATATGTCAAATACTGTTGATTCATAATATGAATTTTGTGCAAACATTTTTAAAAAATGAAAGTTTATGAGGTATTAATTTCCTAATCTCTTATCTTAAAGTTATGACAGCTGGTTTCAAGATCACATCGACCACACTATATAGGAATGCCGGTATTATTTACAATTATGGTCATATAGAAATGACAGATATACCCACACAACATGTTTTTGTCTTCAATTCATAGAAAACTATTTACTGATTTTTTTTTAAATTACCATTTTTATCATGAAGAAAAATTATGCACTCACTTATACACAATCAATAAAATTATTACATTTAGTTTTTAATGTTTTGAGAAATGCTTTCTAAATATATCTTTAAATTGGATCGAAGCAATGTTTTAATTTAATTTTTATGTTTTTTTTCTAATGTCCTGGCAAGAACCATCTTATCACAATATTCACAAAACATTTTATACTTTTAGAGTTATTTAGAATTTAATTTTACCATCCCTCGTAACTTTTTGTCCAGCTTCTTTTAGTTGAAGTATGTTATATAGACGAATTTAAAGGGGGTCGAGAAAATTACTTTGGCGAAGAAGTTTCATTGAAATCGTTTAGGCCCTACAGTCTATAGCAACGCAGGTTTCTTTGAATTTTGAAAGTAAAAGGCGGACAGTAATATCGATGAAGGAGGATTATTCTCGGGTGACCTCTGATTTTATGTCCAAATTTGAAAAAAAAAATTCGGTTAAGTAGTTTCGGAGAAAATGCGCGGAGGGCGTATAAAAATGAAAAAAAATTATTCGTTTTTCGAATTCTACGCATCCTGAAACGTGAAACCTCAAATTCTGAGAAGGGGTTAAGTTTTTAAATTTTTTGGTCGATCACAATGGGTCATTATTGAAAATAATAAATCTAAAGAAGAATTCGAATTATAATTTGCATACAGATGTAAAATGACTATGATCGACATGAGATTAATCTTGGAAGTTATCGATTGAGGCGAATGAGGATAAAACACAAAGTGGGTAAATATAACTTTAAGTGTCGACGTCGTAGGCGATGTTTTCCTTGTATGTTTTAATATTGATGTCACCTAGGTCAAAGATGAGAAATGTTATCAGATATAAATCCTAAACTCAATTAATTCTAATGATACTGACCCGTTTTTATCAAATTATTAACATCCACCTAAAATTTCTTAAGTGGCTTTATCTCGTTAGAAAAAGCTTGTATATTTAAGAAACTTATCGCGAAGAGAACCACTTTCAATCTGGAAATCGATAAAATTTTCCTATCTGATGAGGTACCAAAATTAATGAACATCTATTTGTTTCCTATTTGTTAAGATAATTTAACAGCAAATTCGAGAAAAAAAGAGTCCTACAATAATAATCGGCCTTCTGGCCATTTTTCTACCCCCAACTCATCTTTTTTTCTCGATTTTGAGATCAAATTATCTTTGAAGAAAAATTACAAAATAGAAGTCTAGTGCATCACACAATTTTCACTTACCACTTTGAGTAGAGATTAATTTATACTTAGATAATATGGATAATTATACAACTGAGATTGAAACTAATACAGAGAAAGATTCCAAATGAAGATATAATACAACATTTAGTAAAAAAAAAAACATTTATTTAACATATCGTAGGTTTACAGCGAAAATTCAATAAGTACATTTTTTTGCGGAGGGGAACTTTTAAGAACGTTTTTGTGAATTTCGATCTAATTAGTCTAAAAAAAAACGGTGTAATTTCAATAAAATGACGCAAATTCTTTTATCAATATAGAGTGTAGGGGGGGGGGAGTTAATTTGTATTATATTTTTTCTAAATTAAAGACCGCAAAAGTGATAGCAGACTTTATGAGCTACAAAAAAGTTTATATAAACATTGGTCCAATTTATTATAAAGAAATTAAAGTTTCGTGTTTTTGTATGTAAGTCACGTTTCTTGTTGAATAGGAAGTGATAAATAAGAAAAGTATTCAATTTAAATAATTAATAATTGCTTCACTGTAAAATAGAAAAAAAACTTCAAATTAATGAACAATTTGTCTTTAATCTTTGAGAAGTTTTGAACTGTTAAACTGAGCTATGTTCTGTTTTTTTTTAAAAAATTATAAATTGTTTGCTATCATTCTCCTGCAACTATACCACAGATACCTCACATTTAGTTTCTCCATGATCTGGGATGTATTATAAGAAATGTAATTGCTTAAATTATTTATTAAAAAAAAAATTATAATATTGATTTTCAATATTTTTTTTAATGAAAGTGGTTATAAAATGTGTTTTTGTCATAGAATTCCGTCATAGGAATAGAGAATTTGTAAATGAGCAACTCAATGTTTCTAATCCTGAAATTTACGTTAAAAAAAAAAACAGCTGATGCTTCTATTATTTTTATGGAAACGTAAATATTAGGATCAGAAGCGTTAAGTTAGTAACTTTTAAATAAAAATTGAGGCGAAATGGTTACTATATGTAAAGAATTGATAGAGCCAATGTACTTTTGCATTTCGTAAATGATGTACTTGCTCTGTAGCGTTTTTGTAAGATTGAAAGAAACATGTTTAATAAACAACAATAAACTAATAGCTAACTGCAAGAATCTTGCGCATATATATATATATATATATAACTAGCATTACCCGGCCACGCGCTGCTGTGGCTCAGTCTGGCAAAATGGTAAAGAAAGAAAATAGAAAGCACATATGAATGGATTAATATCAAAGGACATCTGTCATTTTTAAAAAGTTGGGAAACAAATTTCTCTGTAAAATGGCTTTGATTTAAACTAATTCTAATGATTTTTTTTTTCATGATTCAACTTGAACATTCTTGAATACGCCGTCATTCTGTCTGACAGTCTGAGTTGAACTTATAAAACCAAAATTGGCTTTATCTCCGCTTTCTGAAAATGACGGAGATCCGTCTTTGATATGTAGCCATTCATATATTTTCATGTTTAATTTTATTATTATTTTTTTTAAATATTAAATGTATTGTTCAATGTTCATCTTTGTGTTGATCATTTTATGGTAAATAAAGATATAAATGTTTGTTTGTTCAAACTCTCAAATCTCAGAAAGTTCTTCACCCATTGCCTTGTATTTTTGCTTTAACGTTACATTTTAGTATGGGTGAAATATAAGGTGAAACTGTACATATTTATTAAAAACGCACCATCAGTTGGATGTGAAAGCAACACATGCGGTTTAAAATATTTTACGATACTGTTTCAATGTTAAATATTTGCATATATCAATCGTGCATTAGAGCTGCCTTCCATCTTCCTCAAAAGATTTCACATACCCCTTCTAAGATAGTTGCTTGCTTGCTTCTTCTTAATAACAACTTGATTAAATATAGAGTTATTAAAATTGTAGTGAAAAAATAAACCATACTCATAAAAGAAACCCTACGCAAAGGTTTCAACCTTATTCCAATGTAATTTTAGAGAAAATAATTTATTATAAAATAAAATAAGCCGGATGGTAATAAAATGTTCAAAAGTATTCCTGAATTCGATTGCAAAGCTGTGTCAAATTTTCAAAACAATCGGTGAAGAACTTTGAAGAATAGCGGCTTTGAACAAAAAAAACGTTTACATTTTAATAATTTTTTTTGCATATATAAAATTATCGTAAGACAGAAGTACTATGCCAGAAACCTTCCCAGGAGTGTACGGAACAACTTCCCAAAGTTTCATGGCGATCGAATCAGTGGTTTAGTAATGCATAAAGGACAAACAGACAGACATACATTCATTTATATATATATATTTTGCAATGATGGTTGGCTGTAGTGAATAATTGAAGAGAAGGATGGTTGGGTGGCCAGTCAAAATTAAAAATAGTAAAAATAAATAATTATATTTATTTATTTTTATTTTTTGACTGATCACTCCAACTATCCTTCTCTTCTAATATATATATATATATATATATTTATATATATATATATATATATATATATATATATATATATATATATATATATATATATTACCCGGCAGACGAACATAAGTTCATTGTCGATAAATCGTTTAATTGTATGTAAAAAAATATATGATATTATGTACTTTATAAACAAATAAACACTTCTATCTATCTATCTATGTCTCTCTCTCTCTCTCTCTCTCTCTCTCTATATATATATATATATATATATATATATATATATATATATATATATATAGAGAGAGAGAGAGAGAGAATAGAATAGAATAGAAAAATAATTTTATTCTGGGACGAAGTCCCTTCAGAATAACAAAAAAGTACAGAAATTAAAATTTTATATCTGGCCAGATAAAAACAAACATAAAAAGTTAAGATAAAGATAGATCATTAAAAAAAAAAAAAGAAAAAAAAATATTGGTTATACATACCATATACAAAATAAAATAAAAAAATCTATATAAAAAACTCTTGAAACCATACTAAGATACTTAAAACTATGTACAATGTTAAAATATAAATGAACCCTTTTAGAAAAAATTAAAAATACAGAAAAAGTAAATGTAAATTCTTCTTAACAGTAAAATCTGTTTCTGTTAAAAAAAAAGAAAAACAGAAAGTCGAATCTATAATAGGTATTTAGGTTATGAGCTATATGTGAATATGTTATTATAAATAATATGTAATTTTACATATAAGGTTAGCTGGTACCTGACTGTTTTTGGGACAGAAATTGGAATAGGAGGGTTTTGAATGTAGATAAGGATGAAGAATGTCGAATTTTGATAGGAAGGGAATTCCAGAAACTAACAGAACGAGCTATAAAGGAGTTTTGGAACGAGGCAGATCTGTGAGAAGGAATGTAAAGGTCGGAAGGTCGAGATCTTGTGGAAAGGGAGTGGACTGAGGACTTGAATTGGAGAAGGTTGTAGGCGTAGGAAGGACGATGATTGTTGATGATATGATAGAGGAATGTACCTAGGAAATATTGTCTTCGAATGGAGGGGAAGAGCCACTCTAACTCAGTGTAGTGGTGAGAGACATGGTAGTATCTCGGGGCACCAATTACAAATCTCACGCAACTGTTCATTAATCTTTTCAGTCTGTCGCGGAGCTCCACCGAGAGTCCATCATACACCACACAGCAGTAGTCAAAGTGGGGGAAGATGAGAGAGGAAACGAGGAGTCTACGCGTATGTTGAGGTAGGAGATGGCGGAAGCGATGGAATAGTTTGAGGGTAGAAACTGTCCGTCGGGAGATATGAGAAATATGGTGACTCCAGGAGAGGGTTTGATCAATAAATAGTCCTAAATTTTTTACAGAGGAGTAGAAGGGGATTGGCTGGTCACCAAGGTTTAGTATGGATAAGTCCGTATAGGATCTAAGGAGGGGCTTGGAACCAATGACAATGGCCTGAGTTTTTGAAGCATTTAACCTTAATCCGTTTAAGTTTGCCCAGGCACAGATTCGATCTAGGTCTGCTTGGATCTTATTAAATGCTACCAATAGCTCAGGGGGAGAAAAGGATAGGTATATTTGAGAATCGTCTACATAAAGGTGGTGGGAACAATGGAGAATTGAGTCATGGAGGTCATTAATACAGGAACAATGTCGAATTTTGATAGGAAGGAATATATATATATATATATATATATATATATATATATATATATATATGCGTGTGTGAGTTTTTTCTTTTATATATAATATTTTGTGTACTGTAAATCCTATAACAGGGATATTACTGTAACTGATAACACTTCGGTAGGTTAGCGCATTAAGCATTTAGGAGTGCACGAATACCCCTTATTATATTTTAAAGAGTAATTAAAATACTAGTTCCAGCTCTGAGATTATCCTTGTTGCTATGTAACAATATCCCTTGTTTATAAAATTATAATAATAAATAATCGATTTTTATCCTCTTCAGTAAAAAAAAAACTTATTTTTTACATACGACCTTTTGCACCAAGAGCATAGATATGCTGATATTATTATAATTGTGCGTCAATATTTAATATTTCCAAGAATGATAGCTCTTTATCTTCCTGGTTTGTGTTATCAGTAGGAATAAATATTGCTAAGGCAGAATAGCAGGATCATTTGCCGCCGCAGCTGCACAGCGAGCATTCTCTTGGTGAGCGATGTCCATTCATTTATTTATCAACTTATTTTTGGTTTATTATTTTTATTAATGAACCATTGTGATCGACCGAAAAATTCAAAAACTTTCTCAAACTTTGAGGTTTCACATTTCAGGATGCGTAGAATTCGAAAAACGAATACATTTTTTTTTTATTACGCCGTCCGCGCATTTTCTCCGAAACTATTTCACCGATTTTTTTCAAATCCGGTTATAAAATCAGAGGTCACCCGAGGATGATCCTCCTTCATCGACATTACTATCCACCTTTTACTTTCAAAATGGCGGCCGAAAAATCTGCGTTGCTATAGACTGTAGCTCCTAAAAGAATGTACCGATTTCAATGAAACTTCGCTAAAGTCATTTTCTCGACGCCTTTTAAATTTATCTATATAACATACTTCAACGAAAAGAAGCTAGAAAAAAAGTTACGAGGGATTGTAAAATTTAATTCCGAATAACTCAAAAATTATACACTTTTTGTCGATATTGTATAGTTATTCAAAAGTTTACGGAATTTCCTAAAAAACAGACAAAAAAATTGTTTAAATCGGACAATTAGGAGCAAAGATATGGTACTCCAGTTTTTTTTTTTATATGTTCTACACCAAATGTTATATCCTTTGTTTGGTTTTTAAATTTTGAATGTGTTACTGAAGTAATGCTATTTTTTTTTTTTTTAGCATATTACTAATGATTAAAAAAAAAGTTTAATCCATTAATTGGAATCACCTTTGTTTAATTTTTCGTTGTAACTAGGGAGGTAATGTTACTTTAGATGTATAATTGTTTGGAAATTATAAACCACTGTGAAATAATTTGCAGCGTTTTTTACTTTCAATTACCTATATTAAGTATATAGTAAGGGTAAGTATTGTAATCGTGAAAATTCGATTCTGATTTTTCAAGGGGAATACACGTTTTGAGGTCCCCTGAGTCCAAATAACCAAGTCTCGCAAAATGGTCTGTGTGTATGTGAACAGTCTATTTCAAAAACGAAAAATCGTACGAAACTGATATTACGGATTCAAGATAGGTATATACATAACGAATTCAACGTACCACATGCTTCCGGTCTGGCCCAATCCAGATACCTATCCTTCCATAACAAATTTCAAAACCATCCCAACCCTCTCGTTTCAAACCTTGCTTTCTCTTCGATAAGTGACCCTCCAAGGCGTCTGAAAAGAAGATGGCCTCGTGATCTACTTATGTAAATATATTATTAGAGTGCTACCATTGGGTAGTTTCTCAACAAGCGTTTTCATGTGATTGTGTTATTACCGTGTGCACATTTACTGGATGTATTTTTAAATTTATACAGTTGTAAATTTTTTAAATAAAAAAAAAAGAAGATAGGTATATGCCTCAGATGTGGCAGTAACGTTTTCTTTAAAATCGGCTAACCGGAAGTGCCACTTTATATCAAAGGTGAAACACATTTTTACATAACCATTCAATTTTTGATTAGTTTTATACGGGATGTTATATTCACGCAATGGACTAAAAAGTTGGGTTCTTTTAATTCGGTCAACGTTTTAAAATTTTAATTAGATTAGTTTTAAAAATTTGCATTTGAACCAGCCAGTTTATACTCTGGCTATCTACTGTTAATTTTTTTTGCTACGCTAAAAATAATAAAAAAAAATCTGGTGAACGCAACACACAACTTTCACTTACCGATCTACTTTGAATAGAAATTATTTTCTGGCAACGCTGGGCTATTATAAAATCTTTTGAAGTACATTTTAAACGGAAATAAAGCTTAAAGCTTACAGATAATAAGTCATTAAGACCATTATAATTACAAAATGTCTATTTAATATATTGACGGTAGGCAATAAAAATCTAGTCACTTCATCTGCTTTTATAAACCACACAACTTTCTTTGCTTTTATAAACCACAGAATGACAAACTTCAATATCAACATTTTTGAGAGATGTCATTTTAGTAATATTTTTAGTTGAAAAAGTTATCTATGCAGACAGTGAGTAAGTTGATTCCGGAGGTGGTGATTGCAGTGTTGAAATATAGAACTGTGAATAAAGGTATAAATTTATTTACTTATTTCTTCTGAAAGATGTTCTTAGGAAAGATACTTTATTAAATATTGATAGAAATTTTTTTTTTTAGTTCAACAATTAAAAAAGTATATTTTAAATTTATCCAAATTTTCGCCTCTTCAGGAATAAAATCTGTTTTTACAATATATTTTGAATTTTCACGTGAAAAAAAAATAAACAATAAATGTTTTCAAAAGACTTACTATTAGACATTAAAAAACAAATAATAACATTAAAAAATGAATATTAACCAAACAACAATTTGTATTGTATACAAAAAACGCTGCAAATTATTTCACAATGGTTTATTATTTCCAAACAATTATACATCTAAAGTAATATTACCTTCATATTTAAAAATAAGAAAAAATTAAAGGTGAATCCAATTAACGGACTAAAATTTTTTTTTAATCATTAGTAATATGCTAAGCATTGCCTAAGTAACACATTCAAAATTCAAAAACCAAAACAAAAGATATAACCTTTGCAGCAGAACATATTAAAAAAAAAAAAAAAAACTAGATACCATATCTTTTCTCCTAATTGTCCGATTTTAAAGAATTTTTTTTTTTTCTTCCGTAATTCCGGAAATTCTGTAATTAGAAAATTCCGTAAACTTTTAAAAAACAATAATGACAAGGTCATTATTTGTCATTATTCTGCCCACTTCATTTTACTTTAAATTTTGTTTACCTACATTATTCATGTTTCTTATACCTTGTTATCTGGTTCTTTTCTTAGCCATGATGAAGGCCTGAACTTCAGGTCAAAACGTCGGCAAATGTTAAAATAAATATTATTATTTATTTTGCCTTCTTACTTCTGACTGATCACTCCAACATTTATAAATGTCTCTTCTTATTTTTTTTACAGTCCAATATATTTATAATAAATTTATCCTAACGATACTATAGCTCACTTAACCACTTATGTTATCTTATTAGTTTTTTTATTCTCTTTATTTGTTAACCTTTAGTTTTTTGTTTTTTTTTAACCTTTATTTATCAAGTTTAACATTTACTGGTTTCTTATCCTCTGTAGCTTAATAATAAAACTAGGTGATTGTATTTTACCACTAATTATCTTTTAATTGTTTCAGACAATAATATTCATAAATGATGGATTCGACATTTGTGCTACTGGCGACATTAATGCTAACAACCATGGTAAGTTCATACTCATCTGCCTCAGAATATTCTTTTAAATTTCACGTACAGGATGTAAAGGAAAGTATTTAAAGGTTTGAAAGCAGACCACAACACTGGCGGATTTACGGAGGGGGGGGGAGAGACTTTCGGGCTGAGGCCCCTCCTCCAGAATGGTAAAATATAACCATGTCTTATGAAAAAAATATTTAATAATTACCTCTAAAAGTGTTATTGCTCATGTGATTACATTTAATAGTACTTAAAGAATCACTTGGACTTGTATATGATTTTTATTTAATTTTATAAACAATCGATCATATGTAAATAATATAATGTGTTCAGATGTTTATGGTTATAAAATATATTCTTTATTATATGGCAATGATTACTTCCAATTAACAACAATGGAATTATTGTTAATTGGAAGTAATCATTGCCAAATAACAAAGAATATCATACAACTTCCCAGAAAAAATAATAATAATAAAAAAATAAAATAAAATATATTGTGTTGATTAGCAAAATCTTTAACTTTCTTTAAAGATACTTATTAAAGTTAATCAATCTTAACTCATAAAACCACTCTACGAGATTAATTATTAGAATGCTGAATGAAGTAAACTTGGATATTCCAGAAATAACCGAAAATCAACAATCAAAAGAAGAATATTTCGAAGCACAGGCGGATCTACGGGGGGCTTTCGAGCTGAACCCCTCCCCTCCCCAAATGGTAATACTTCCTGACTCAATAATAAATATAATTTTAGTTTCCGATGAACATTTAGAAAAAGTTGCGATGATGGCAGATGAAATAGTGGACATAACTCCACGTTGCAACGTTTTTGCCACATCTAGTACTAAAGTTTCTTCAGAAACTTGTTGAAATAGTGGCACAGACGAATTAATAAAACAGCTTGTTACCAAAATAGAAGCTATGGATGCCCGTATTTCCTCTATACAGGATTCTAAATGTCTAAGTAATAGTCCAGATCACCATCCAATATAACTAGTTGTTTATATGAAATGTGGGACTTATTAAATACACTTTGAATGAATTGACTCACCTGGTTTGTTATTCTTCAATCGTGAGGCATGTAGGACAATTAAATAAATAAATGACTTTTCACTCCTGTATAACAAAACAATTTATTTGGACAAGTGATAATAAATGAATCTATTGAAGTCTTATAACTGTGGGCTTGATATTCTTGGTCTACAATGTCCTTCCTCTCTCACCTCAGGTGTAGTAGACATTCCCCTGTATTTACCCCTTTAGATGATAATGTGTGAGGGAATGAGAAGGTATATATAATATATAGGAATGTGAGGTTGCACTGTGAATTGTACTCAATTGTGCAGTGGACAAATTGCTCATTGGAAAATCTGACATCGATAAAGAATCGAAAAGAAGAAAAGGTCCGATCAGGTAGCTGGCAACAGATGGCGAGGACGACGCCAAACACTTAAGGCCTGGACGCCAACACAAGAAGACGTCATCTGGGAAGAGAGGCCTACTACATTGAAGACCAAGATTATCAAGCCGACCGTTCACTTATATATATTCATTTATTATCAATTGTCAAAATAAATTTGTTTTATTATACCGGAGTGAATAGTCCTTTTATTTAGTTGTACTATAGGCCTCACTATTGAAGAATAAACCAGATGAGTCAATTCAAAGTGTTTACTAAGTCCCACATTTCATATATATATTCTTAGTGTTTCTTCTCACACAGTGTCATAAAAGGTAATAGATCCCTGAATACCCAATCACAGTTGAACACCCTCAAAAAGTCGTTATCCAGTGCCGGGGTTTTGTTTTAATAATTCACGAGTGTAAATAACCCTAAACCCCGTTATAAAAGCGGAAGGCTATGCGCCTATTGCCGCCAAAACTAATTATTTAAAATTAACTTCCCGCAGGTTATTTACACAGGTTACATCCTCTTGCCTCCGTGTCTCAGCCTGAATTGTCCTCTCTCCTCTTCTCGGCGTCCTTCTGCAGCTGTCGCTAGCTACCTGCTCTGTCCTTTTTCCAGCGTCCTTCTTCATCTATATTTTATCGATATGTGACATTTCTATAATTAATTTGTCCACTGCATAATTGAGTACAATTCATCGTGCAACCTCACATTCCTCTATATCCCTTTTCATTCCCCAACACAATGTCACATAAAGGAGTAAATACAGGGGATGTCTACTACAACACCCTTATAGATAATATTTCTAATGATGATGCAAATAGCATCAATTGTGCTCAGTAAAATTATCAATAAATATAGCAATAATATAAATTTATTTTTTAGATTGTGGAGACGTCATCGGTGGTCTATGAACCGAAAACTTTGGTGAACTCTTACTGTCCTGAGGTTACTAGCAGCATGTTGAAAGACGGATTGGACTATGCTGCCACTGTGTATCGCTACGATCTCATCAAGCCTGCCGAAATAGAGCTCACTAGCATGCAGGCTCTTCTCATATCTTTGCTCAACTGTTTAAGAACTCGAGACAACGAATCTTGCACCATCCTTGCTGATTGCTCTAGTCGCATAAAGCAACTGCGCTCCAGGTATGTCGGACTCTGGCTGAGGGAGGACTTCCGGTTTCCAGACGAAGACATGAATATAGCAATGAATCGCCTGGACTCGCTGGTTGGTGCTGGAGAACTGGTCCTGCACTCAAATGTGTTGTCGGTTTTTTCTTCACTTGCTGATAGCTATGGCATCAGTCTACAATCGAAAGTAAGTTTTCCACAATTTACCTTTGATATTTTCTTTTATAACATAAATGCTTATTTTTATAAGAACATTTAAAATCTATATTATCATAATTCATGGATGCGAAACTTGGCTGCTTATATTAAGGGATGAGCAGCGTCTTAAGGTTTTTGAAAATAAAGTGTTGCGTAGAATATTTGGACCGAAGAAGGATGAGTTAACCAGAGAGTTCAGATGATTACACAACGCGGAATTGCGTGAACTGTATCCGGGTAATATAATTGAGGTAATTTCATCCCGGTGAATCAAATGGGCTTGTAAAATTGTTCTGCTTAGTAACGATAGAATTCATTCAGAGTTATTCATTCTGTCAACTGAAAGGCTCAGAGACTGAAGTTATGTGGTTTATAATACTAGATTTTTATTGCCCACCGTCGATATAATAAATAGAATTTTTGTAATTATAATGGTCTTAACGACTTGTTATCTGTAAGCTTTAAGCTTCAGCTCTGTTTAAAATGCACTTCAAAAATTTTATAATAGCCCAACATTGCCAGAAAATAATTTCTATTCAAAGTAGAGCGGTAAATGAAAGTTGTGTGTTGCATGCACCCGATTTTTTTCTTGTGCCCTGTACAAAAACTGTGTATTTAATATTATGCATGTATAATATTATGGGTATGTTTAAGATGCTTATTTTACTTTTAAAATATGTTTTTTTTATTTAGTGTGATCAGTCTGTTGGCCCAATGTAATGTTAATTTATATCGTACTATATCCGTGCACATCACACACTATTATTTGTTCATCGCACTATAATCATATTTCTGCCACACTTTTATCAATTCATCGCACAAAAGCTCTATACGTAGCATGCTATTATCTATTCATCGCACTAAAGCTGTTTACGTGGCTATTATTTATTCATCACATGACACTATTTCGTATTCCTCGTATTATATCCTTAAACGAGGGAGTGGGGTAGCTCAGTGGTGGGGTACTGAGCTTCTAATGCTAAAGGTTCTAAATTTGAATCCTGGCTCATGGCAGAAAAATTATTTATTCTGTTTGATTGCCCATGGGACGACTCTAGGTAGGGAGACCTTCCTGGGGTACACTTAGCCTCTATAAAGTAGGTACCCTTAATTAAATAATTAATTATGGAGGGAAATCTGGCGGTTGAGCTTGAAAACCAAATCACTTCCTTGCACAACCGTTAACTGAAACCAAGACCCTTCATAGGTTTTAATAGTACAGGGTTTTTTTTTATATCCTTACACCTGAAACACTATTATCTATAGATAGCACTATCCTCCTACACGTGGCACACTATTATATGAGCATTTAATTTTTCATTTCAACTCGAATTTCAACATTTTTTAGTAAAGTCATTTTAGTGATATTTCTAGTTGGAAAATTTATAATATATGTACAGACAGTGAGTAAGTTGATTACAGTGTTGAAATATAGAACTGTGAATAAAAGTATAAATGTTCCCATTAAAAATACCACTAATATTAATAATCAAAAATGTTTAAATCGGAGCTAGTCATTCTGTCAACTGAAAGGTTCATATATTTATTGCACTATTTCTCTACACATGACATACTAATGTCTATTCATCGCAATATAGGTCTTCACGTGATAAACTTTTGTCACATTTACATAATTTCCAAATTCTATATTATATTGAGATTCATTTCTGTATTTGTGATATGTTTTTATTTGCATCGATATTTGTAATAATTTTCTATTTAATTTTGATTTTTTTAATTGAATATTTAATAGTTGACTGTTGCAATATAAAGGAAGGAGATGGTCCGGGGTTGCGGTCATAAATAGACTAAATAGTGTTAAAACTATTTTATTAAAAGCCAACGTCTCGACCCGACTTTGCAGGTCTTCATCAGGGCTAGAACGGACAAGATACAAAAGGATAGAGAATTGTGGCAATTACATAACATTTAGACATAATTTATAAACAATGTGAATAAGCTTATTAAAATTATAAACAGTAAGTACAATAAAATATGGACAAAGTAAGCTAAGTAACAAGATCCTAATCTGAAGTAAATAGATGCTAACAATTGTTGTAGTTTAATATATAATAAATGAAAATGTGAATAATGATGTAGAGTTGGTTGACCGTTGATATGATATGAGAAGGAATTAGTCGAGGGTGCGGTCAAAAAAAAAAATTTAAAAAAAATTAAAATATATAAATAATTTTAATTTTTGCCGACGTTTCAGTGTTTCAACCGCCTCCCGCAGTGCCACATCCAACGCCCTGAAGACGACCTGCAAAGTGGGTCGAAAACGTCGGCAAAAATTAAAATTATTTATATATTTTAATTTTTTTTAAATTTTTTTTTGACCGCACCCTCGACTAATTCCTTCTCAGAAAATGTGAATATATTTCTACAAAATTTATGTGAATATTCACATTATCATTTATTATATATTACACTATTATTATATATTATTATTGTTTTCAAAAACCTTGATTGTCTCAGTCTAAACTTTGTGGCTCTTTCTATTTTCTCAGCTTGCTGGCTAGTCCTTTCTCTCTTGACAGCTTGTCACATTTTCTCTTGGCGGCTCATAACCTTCTCTCTTGGCCGCTATCACCTTCTCTCTTGGCGGCCCATCACATTCTGAGTTACATGAGGCTTGCTTCCCCCACCATCCGCACGCACTTCCTCCCAGTAGTTCGTGTTGTTATTACTTTCGCGCCAATATTCAAATGCCATATAATGTTGACACTACAATATATATATATATATATATATATATATATAAATTACATATACAAAGATTCTATCTCGGTCTGATGTCAAATGCCTTTCTTTTAGATATAATTATATATATTTGTTATTAAATATTTATTAATATTACTAACAAGATATAAAATATAAATTTATTCAAACTATAAACACATTTTTTATATATTTACAGAAAAAAAGTGGAAATTTGATGCTTGAACTAGAATATGCAGTGGCTAACAACATTGCTTGTGAAATTATTGCACTAGTTAATGAAGGAGGAAACATCAATGGGTTAACTCAGTCCGGGGAAAGCCTTGTACATTTGGCCGTGAGGAGAGGAAGTACTTCTTCTATTGCCGTACTTGGGTTCCTGAAGGCAGATTTTGACGTTCTCAACGCTGCTGGAGCAACCCCTATGGAAGAAGCTATTAACATGAACAGCGTTCCATCTATCAAGGAACTGATATTGGCTGGTGCTAAAATTAAGAAGCAGTTGCTCGAAGGTAACTCTTACCTCCATATTGCAGCTACTTCTTGCAAGAATGAAGCATTGCGGGCCTTACTTGAGGCAGGACTTGAACCCGACGTAAGGAACCACCTGGGAAATACTTCATTGCAGCTAGCTGTCAAAGTAGAAAATGTTAATGGGACGGAAATCCTACTAGAAAGATACGCTAATAGGTCTTCTTTGATATCAGAAGAAGAAAAGAGTCTTCTGCATATAACCGTTGTGTCATCGAATGTTGATATGTTTAAAGCATTTATAAAATGTAGGAATTTGTTAGATCTCAGATTCGAAAATAATGACACAATAGTTCACTTGATAGTTCGTTCAAATAATTCAATTGAAATGCTCAAAGTACTGAGAGGTCAAACAACGCCATTAAACATCCGGAACGATGATGGTCTCGCGCCTTTGCATATAGCTACTGATCCATCAGTTGTTGAGACACTGCTAGAGATGGGTGTTGATGTCAATATTACTACAAGAAAAGGAAAAACAGCTCTCCATATAGCTTCGTCCAAAGGATATCTGAATGTCGTAAAAGTTCTAGTACAACATGGTGCAGGAGTTGACATACAAGACGACCAAAATGAAACAGCTCTGATGGCTGCTACGAAATCAAAGATGAATATTGTAGTTATTTTTCTATTGTATAGTGGTGCAGATCTAACAATAAAGAATAATCAAGGTCGTACAGCGCTACACTATGCCTCTAAAGAAGGCTGCATTGACTGTGCATTAACGTTGTTGGACAACGGAGGAAAAGTAGATGAAAGAGACACAGATAAATTCACTTCTCTACATCTTGCAGCACGAAGAGGACGAATGGGTGTGGTGACTTTACTGTTGGAACGTGGAGCTGATCTAACAGCTAAGTCAGGATCAGGAATGACACCACTAATGGAAGCATCTTTTAATGGCCACTTGGATGTAGTGAAGCTTCTTATTGACCGAGGAGCGTCTATCAACGATAAGGAGGACGGATGGACTGCCCTACATTATGCTGCACAAGAAGGTGAAGTAGACGTTGTGACTTTACTGTTGGATCGTGGAGCCTCCATGAACGATAAAAATAATGATGGATCAACGGCAGTACATCTTGCAGCACGAGGAGGGAATATGGGAGTGATGACTTTACTGTTGGAACGCGGCGCTGATCTATTAGCTAAGTCGGATTCAGGACTGACACCTCTAATGGAAGCATCTTATTATGGCCATTCGGATGTAGTGAAGCTTCTTATTGACCGAGGAGTGCCTATCAACGATATGGACAAAGACGGATGGACTGCCCTATATTACGCAGCACAAGGAGGTAAAGTAGATGTTGTGACTTTACTGTTGGATCGTGGAGCCTCTATCAACGATAAAAATAATGATGGATCAACGCCAGTACATCTTGCAGCACGAGGAGGGAATATGGGCGTGATGACTTTACTGTTGGAACGCGGCGCTGATCTATTAGCTAAGTCGGATTCAGGACTGACACCTCTAATGGAAGCATCTTATTATGGCTATTCGGATGTAGTGAAGCTTCTTATTGACCGAGGAGCGCCTATCAACGATATGGACAAAGACGGATGGACTGCCCTACATTACGCAGCACAAGGAGGTAAAGTAGACGTTGTGACTTTACTGTTGGATCGTGGAGCCTCTATCGACGATAAAAATAATGATGGATCAACGCCAGTACATCTTGCTGCACGAGGAGAGAATATGGGCGTGGTGACTTTACTGTTGGATCGTGGAGCAAATCTTACAGCTAAATCATATTCAGGAATGACACCTTTAATGGAAGCATCTTATTATGGCTATTCAAATGTTGTGAAGCTTCTTATTGACCAAGGAGCGGCTATCAACGATAAGAATGAGAACGGAACGACTGCACTACATTATGCAGCACAAGAAGGGAAAGTAGACATTGTGACTTTACTGTTGGATCGTGGAGCAAATCTTACAGCTAAATCAGATTCAGGAATAACACCTTTAATGGAAGCATCTTATTATGGCTATTCGGATGTAGTGAAGCTTCTTATTGACCGAGGAGCGCCTATAAACGATAAGAATGAAAACGGAACGACTGCACTACATTATGCAGCACAAGAAGGGAAAGTAGACGTTGTGACTTTACTGTTGGATCGTGGAGCCTCTATCAACGATAAAAATAATGATGGATCAACGCCAGTACATCTTGCAGCACGAGGAGAGAATATGGGCGTGGTGACTTTACTGTTGGATCGTGGAGCAAATCTTACAGCTAAATCATATTCAGGAATGACACCTTTAATGGAAGCATCTTATTATGGCTATTCAAATGTTGTGAAGCTTCTTATTGACCAAGGAGCGGCTATCAACGATAAGAATGAGAACGGAACGACTGCACTACATTATGCAGCACAAGAAGGGAAAGTAGACATTGTGACTTTACTGTTGGATCGTGGAGCAAATCTTACAGCTAAATCAGGTTCAGGCAGAACACCATTAATGATAGCATCTGAAAACAGCCAAATAGATCTAGTGAAGCTTCTAATAGACCGAAGAGCGCCTATCAATGATATGGACAAGGATGGATGGACTGCATTACGATATTCAAAGAATTTTGGCAAAAAAGAGTTAAGTGAATACCTTGAATCAAAAGGTGGGATTGAGTAACTTCTCAATACGATGTAAAGACCTGAATGATTAAGTTTTTCAGTATTTATTTATTGTTCAAAAACAGCTGTTATAAACTGTTTTATGTTCTTTCATTGACAGGAGATATTTTTTTTTCTCTTACAATTGCATTTTGATTATGTAAATAAATAAAATTATGTATATGAGCTAGTATTAAAAATGATAAATTTTCATATATCCTAATAAAATTTGCTATTCTCTATTTTATTTCGAGGGCTATGCTTAAATATTTTAAATCCAACCCTATTATTGCCTGGTAAAGTGTCAAGATGCCCTAAATTATACTAGTAAAAAAATACAAATAGTGTCTTAAAGGAAATATGAGTGCTTGCGGGACACTGCCAAACCCACTAATATCCAAAGAGTTGATGAAATTCTGTATGCCAGGCTAGAAATGAGACTAAAAAGACTCATGAATTGCTTTGCAATGTACATCTTTGTAATTCCCAAGCATTCTCATATTTTCATTCTAGTACACTGAGCTGAAGTGGCTTTATTAGTAGGCTTCTTGATGGCAAATCCTTTTTATTGATTTCCTTTTCTGATTCTCAAAACCTAAAACCAGATCTCAACCTATAGAGTCATATATCTCCTCCCATAAAACTAATTCTTTCAGAAAATTCTTCGTCGTTCATGCTACCTTATTTGTGGAACTCTTTACCTATCTCCATACGTACAATCATTGTCGACGAATTCCTTCAAACAACTCCTGTTCCATCACCTAGTCCATATTCAAACTTTCCATACATGTAAAATTTACTTGTGTCTGTACACTATAATTCAATCAACTATTGCAATAGCAATCAACAGTTAATTAAGCATTATTTTGGGAATGGGAAATTTGGCAAAATATAGTAAGTTACCATTTCTGTAGCTAATAATTCAACTGAATATGTTGGTTTCCGAAATAGTTTTGTGACACAAATATACAAAATTACCCTAATCAGCGACATGTAATATTGATGTGGTTTAATTATAAGGGGAAGTTGCGAACTTTAAGGAAACTTCTTTTAGTGATACTAGGAACAAATTACGGGGGTTCTTTCCATTGCGTCTCTGAATCAGATAAAAAAAATATTTGCGTATTTTCTGACCAAACTTGACTCATAATTCATCCTGCACAAGTTGACAAGTCTACAATTAATTATTTTGTATTAAATTGATTATAATTGGTATCAAAGTGAATGTTATTGGACTCAACAATTATTCTTATAGAAAATAAAATAACTTTTAATTTCATTTCTATTAAATTTATCCTTGTACAAAAGATAACAAATGCTTACTAATTTCTAAAATTTATTGAAAATTATGCTCCGGGCCCTGAATTTGAGTCAGGCCATTGCAGATAATCATTGATTGTGTTACACTAACCATAGATTGACTCTGAAATCGGTGCATGCCCAGCCTCTTAATTAAATAACTAATTAAGGGGAAAAGTTGGCGGTTGAGCATAATCTCAATCAAAAGCCTCCTTCGAATGTTGATCTTGGGAAATGACATGATTTTAGTACAGTTAGGGATGAGCCCTCCTCTTTCCACTACTTCATTCAGAGTATTACTTATATTTAATATATAATTTATTGTATAGCTTATAACAGAGTATATTTTTAACATTATGTTAATTTTTTTTGGGTGCTTAACTATTACTTTCTAAGCCAGTAGCTCGTTGGCTTTAATTAGTCATAGTTCATCATCTTGAGAAATTAACTAAAGTATAGTTTTAATATAATTAGGTAATATTTGGGTACTTGTGACTTAGCTGGTCGCCAGGAAACCTATCTTCTTATCTCGTGTCACCTCTTCTTATCACTCGTCTCTCCTTTGTTACTTGTGGGTTCTTCAATTGTTTTCAGTTTTTTTTGTTGTTGATTTTGTTGTTTTATATTTAAAATAGATCCTATAACATTTTTGAAATTGCCGTCTTCGGCCACGGGAAAAGTGGTTGAAATAGACAAAAGTATTTGTTCTAAAAGAAAAAATCATGTAGGGAGGAAAATGCTCCCTGAGCAATGGATGTTTGGTGCAGTTTGTAGAGAAACAGACGAGCGTTTTATCGTAAAAAATAAAAGACAGAAAAGCAACAACTCTATTAGAATGTATTAAAAATAATATAGAAGAAAGAACTACTATATATTCTGATTGTTGGAAAGGAAATAACACCCAACAACTAAATGAAGCGAACTATAGCCATTTCCATGTGAATCAGCTGTATTACTTTGTTGATCCTTGAAGTGGGGTCCACACTCAACACAGAGGACGATTAGGGGGCTCAGCAAACTGGAGGAATAAAGAACTTCCAGCAACTGCGAGGCAACACATGCATTCATATTTATGTGAATTTTGTGGCAGCGAATCCACAGAAAAGAGGATCCATTCCTCGCTATTTTAAATAGCATTAAGATATATTGTCTCCCAAAACAAGATGTTGTAAAATAAAAGTGTTTTGTTATTATTGGATTTCTTTTTATCTATTTCAATTTTCATAAATATAAATAAGAAGGTAGGTATTATCAGTGTTCAGGTTAAAAACGACAGATAGCAGTCCGTGACGACTGACTAACTCACAACTACTGAGATCAGTAACTATAAATTTAAAGCAATGGAAAGTTTCGAGCATATTGGAGTCTATTTAGGACTATGTTGGCTTTTTCAGATGAGGTTGCTGAACAAACCAGTATTTATTTATACTACAGAAAGGACTGAATGTGTTGCTTATACTGAAGTCTTTCCTTTGTATAGTTTTAAACATAACATGTATCTTAATAACTTTGTTAGTATAAAGCCATTATAAGACAATAAACTTCTATTTAACTAAGTACATTAATTAAAATTATAAAACAGAAAAATATCATATAAAATGTTTCCCTATTGAATAAAATCAAGACTTAACACCCAAAAATAAATTAATTCTGTGTAAATCAGTAATAAAACCAACCAATAAAATAAGATTGTCCCATAAGGAGCTTCATTAATACACCTGACATGGAAAAAAAATAATACAACTATTCCAAAAAACTTGCCCTATCATACCAAAATATCTAAGAAACAATCCGAACAAAATATGCACTACACCACTAGCAGATCCAAGATTTACTTTTGTAGATGGCTTCAGCCCGAAACATTTTTTTTTCATATATGTATTGATAATTAATTTGAAAAAAAAGAAAGAAACTACCTATATGACATAGTGTTTAAGTGATTCTTAAAGTCCTATTAAATGTAATTACATGAACAATAATAGTTTAAGAGCTAGTTTTAACATTTTTTTTTTTATATAACATGGTTATATTTTACCATTTTGGGGGGCTTCATCCTGAAAGCCACCCCTTCTTCTCTGTAGATCCGCCTAAGCCCTACGTACAACAACCCGCTAACAATACAACCCTAACCTTCTTTCAATCTCAAAAACACTCCTCAAATCCATATATCGGAAATAGGAAATTATATAAAACCAACTTCCAATTATAAACATCAGAGAATGAAGCATATTCTGCTTTAAAACTTTCTACATTTTATTTTATTGTAAAGAGTATTTGGTTTTTTTCTTGTGTTTATTTTTTTACTAATGAATTCAATTCATTCCATTTGTAATATATTGTATATAAAAAAAAATGTATTGTACAAGGGTACACATCCAGAGTAATTCTAAATATTGGAGTTGTGAAAATATGAAATAATGTCGCTAAATAAAAAGAAATAAAAAACTAAAGCCATCATACTGAAGACACTTTCAGTCAAGTCTGAAATATTAATGAATGGCTTTTGTTTTCAACAATTAATATAGGATTTAATTCAGTTTATCAGATACCCTTCATTGATAGATAAAACAATGGAGCACAGCTAATCATACATACTAATAAAGTTGTCAATTAATTTTATTATTATTAATAGACTTTAATAAAAATGAAGGATAATGAAAAACTCAAACATTTAGTACATTTAGAAAAGAAATAATTATTTGAAAGCGAGAGTTATTCATTTTGTTTATATATTTTGTATGATTACAAGAAAAAGGCTTGAAAATACAAAAACAATTTGTAGTACTGAGCTTAGCTGATTGTAGCAAACACAGATACCAAAAAATATATAACATTTTTTTTTAAACTAGAATTTGTTTTTTATATATTAAATAATAATAGAAGATACAATTTGTGAGGTGAGGTGGAAACATAATAAGTATGGTGAGTATATTTACCATTTATTTAGACAAATTGATAAAGATGTGATAGGATAGCCGTAAGGGCCTATGAAAATATAATATAATATTTTTCTATACAATGATTAGTACATTACTAATGACTCAAACAATGAAGAACAGTATTATTAAATTTTGGGTGTTTAGATGTTGTAATTTATACACCAGGTATGGAATATTCAGAACGGAAACAAAAACTCCTCTATCTTATTTTTATAGTTCATTGGGCAAAAGTGTACGATAGAAAAACACTGATATAAATTAAAAAAAATAAGTTAATTTGTATAAATTAACACATTTGCTATTTAACTAGCAATTAATTTTTTAAGTAGAAACTTTTAATCATAATAATTTAAACATGAATACAATAAAATAATTTGAATAGTCAGTAAAAAGACCCTTTTGCCCAACATTTACCCTTGCTTGTAGGAAATATCTATAATAAATTGCTCGAAATGAACATTGAAGGATGTTAATATACAACATATAAATTAGTTATAAATAAATACAAAAATAACACTTCAAAATTTGACTGATAATAAAGTTGAATATATATAATTTCTAATTATAAACAGAAAGAGGATATTATAATTTTTTTAAGTAAGCATAAGAGAGTCCTACTATTGTACAATATATCTTCCTGTTTATCCATTTGTATATCTAATCAACCTAAGCCTTTAAATATGTCACAGCCGAACGAGTCCAAGCCTTTAATAACAGTATCAAAGTTCTTAATATCATTTTGTTGATCCAAAGATTTGTATGTACAAATTTCTAAATTTTTTTGAAATACAAGATAATTTTTTATATTTCTTATAATTTTTAAAATGTTAGCATACGTTATATAGGTGTTACATATATATTCTAAATTTAAAAGGATTCTTACTCTAATAAATTGAAAATTAGCAGTTTACAAGCAAACTCTTTGTTTATTATAAAATCTGCGGTCATGAGTGATAAAATTAGCAATATAATATAATTTAATTTGTTCAATTTTGAGCATTTAGTAATAGAATTTATAACATTAACAGATATAAAAAATTAAATACAGGGCACAGTGAATCATTAACTGTTTTGACTCTCGTTTAAGTTCTTTTTTAATCTTATTCATGTTGATCTTTACCACCCATGCCTACATTATTTAAATTGAAACAAAAAAAAAAAGTACATATATATTTATTTCCTCTATAATATTTACAATTTCCGCTATGTACAATAGCTCTTTGTTGTAATAAGAAGGCCACTGAATTAGTCGAGTTGTTTTTTTAGTAAAGTAAACATAACTAACGTACATTAACCTATTTACATATTCATAATACAATTCACTCGGTTACAAACACCTTTTCTTGCTACAAATATATACTCTGTAATATGTTTTCTAATTACTTATGTAAATATTACAGATAGTTAATACATGACATTTTTAAATAAAAATATACTTTGTTGGTATAGAAAAAAAAAAGATATTATAAGCAGTTAGCACCTAAAAGTTAGGCAATAAACTTCATTATAAGAGTTAGAAATGAAAAGTTTTGTCCTTTTTGGACCCTTGTTCATCCAGCGAATATTAATAATTTAACTTTATACACTACAATATTATACATTAGGTTTGAGGTTAAGAAATTATATAACAAGCAAGCTTTCTGATTTTGGAAAATTATTTTTATAGACAAAAAATTGTGACCTAATTTTTTTTATGAATAACTTTAATAATTTATGTAAAAATTTTGGTCTCATTAGAAATTTTAGTACAATAGATTAATTCTTTTTATTTTATTTTTTAGTAAAAAATTGAACAAGTAAAAAATCTCATGCTCTCTATAAGTGTAACTATTTGAGTATGTATATATTTACTTTTTTAACCTATATCAAAGTAAAGTTTAAAAGTACGCATTTATAGCTTTTATAAACTAGACCTAATTAATAGGTTTATTATCAGTACGAGCTAATGGACCCACCAAACTAGATTTTACCAGTTTTTAAAACCAACCGAATTGAATAACAGTGCTAAACTAAAAGAAAATATAACAATAATAAAATCTTTTCAATTCTATTCATCATAAAATATTTTTATACATTTTTTTAAAAATATGATAGGTTTAAATTGTTTAATGAATTGAAAAGTAACTGATATGTCACCGTCAATCTTTCTTTTCTTCTTAAAATAATGATTAATTTTTTGAAATTTTTTTTTCTAATTTACATTTTATGTATATGAATTTTTTAAAAATTATAATATGCTGGGTTGACAGGGTTCTACGACTAGCTAACCTTGAGGTGTTCCAAATGGTGAGCGAAGTAAATGCTTCTCCGCACATCAACAGACAAAATCATTTTAAAGCTCTACCCAATGTTTTATGACCGTTTGCGATCAGCCAACGGGACCTTTACTTATTGACTGGGACATGAAAATACTAAAATGGGGCTCTATATACACAGTTAGAAATACAAAACTACTCAATCAATGTACATAAATAATTAACATCTTATAAGACACATTTACACATTAAGTACATCAAATAAAATTGTAGCCATAAAAAGTTAATCTGGACAATTCTCACTGTGCTTCGAAGGAGGATTTGTTTTACATGTGCCTCACGCCTGAAAACAATACCAAAATTAGGTTATCATATAACAAATGGAAACTGAATATTATTAAGAGATCATAATTGAGTATTACAAAATTAATAAAATTACATTAACATGTTTTATTTAAAAAAAAAAATGAAATAGATGGTTAAATTCACAAAAGATAAAATTTTAAGTAAAATTTTATAAAAGATAGAAATAAATAAATAAACTTGTATCACTATAATCCTCGGAAGTTGTTGGGTGCAGTACTTTCTAAGGAAATTTCAAGTTGTTACCAAAGTCCTTCTGCATCAACACAACCCTTAATTCCAATTCTCATGGTTAATCCTATAACATTGTTTTTGTTACAACTATTTACGATAATGTTTACTTTGACTAATCTTTTAATTCCAAGTGACTTGAGTAGGCTTCAAGGGTTAATATAAAATTTTAAAATGAAGCTGCAATATCTGAAAACAAAACTGCGATTTACGGTCTTTTGAGAAATTACTATTAATTATTTGAGAAACTAATTAATTAATTAATTAGAGAAAAAAAAGGCAGGTTTTCTCAAAAATGGCTCTAACGATTTTGATTAAATTCAACATATCAGTGTATTATTAAGCAGTTTTTAATATAATGTAGGTTTTATTCTCATTGTTGTTCTCTATTAGGGCTTAAATGGCTAATTTTCAATATTGGCTTCCTCTAAAGTACCTTTATTTATTTTTTTATTTGATGTAATTAACCATTTCATATAAATCTTTGATATAAAAAATATTTAAATATAAAATATTGAAGAATTTGAAAATTTACTAGAGGAGAAATAAAAGATTATATGAGCTTCATATAATATGGAATCTGACAATAGTATGTACATATACTTATGCGATTTCCATAAATGCTATCGTTGGTATTATTTAATATTTAATTGTATAGAATACAGTGATTTATAAATTAAAGTTTGTATATAAAGGGTATTTAAACAAATAAAAATATGCACAATGAATTGTAAATAAATATAGTGTCAATAATTTTTACTTTCACTTTCCCTTTGTCTGAAAATACTTATTCTGCTAAAAGTGTGGTAAGTGAAAGTCGTATTATGCGCTCACCAGATTTTTCTTCTTATTTTTCAATTAATTAAAATTGTCTATTAACTTTATTCTAATCACTTATTAAATTCACCCCTTATTATGCTGTATCAGCATCAAAGTCTAATTCCCACTATAATTTGGGATCAGAGAAAGCACGATGTGTTGAACAATAGGGCATTAATTATTTTCTTAACAAAATGCGTTGCCTTAGTTGAGATCTGGAAAACAAAATTTGAGGATCCATGGTTGCTTAAACGACCATCTCATAATGAATGAAATAATAGCGTAGGCTATAAAAGAGTTATGTTTTTTGAAGGTGTAAACCATGCCTGGAGTAGGCTGAGCCTCTTCTGCCCATTTGAGGAATCCACCGCCCATAAGTAGCGACAACTTCATTTAAGTGGATGATAACGCCCGCATCGGACCAAGATGATAAGAAGAATGATAAGATGGTACCGTATAAATTCGTGCCATAGAAAGAGAGTTAATTATTCATCAAAATTCTGCCTCACTTTGGTTGCATTTTGAGCTAGTTCCTGATGGTTGTCAGAGGACTCGGACCTTCATCGTGAACAGCTAGACAGAGTTTATCCTGATTAGGTCAACAGGAACCAAGCCATATTGCAACACGACAATGCCCCTGCACATAGTTCCTGTTTGCAAGCAGTAAACATTTTGCCTCATTCTGTGCATAGGCCAGATATTGCATCGTAATAATCAAAGGATAATGACGAGGATGTAAAGAGCCTCAAAACCAAAGAAGAAACACAGTCATCAAATCCAATTTGTAAATAAACTTCCGTTCCTATGGGAGTCTTGGTTATTTACACCAGTAAATTTTAATTTTAAAACAAAACCCTGGCTCTGGATAAACTTTAAGAGGGTTTTTACTACTGTTGGGAATTCCGGAACCTAATTTAGTGAAACTGAGTTGCAAGAAATAATAAGTAAATATATGAAATATTGGAATGAACAAATATACTTTAAATGAAATGACTCATCTGGTAGTTGATCTTGAATTGTCAGATATAATTTATTTAACAAACTGTAAATAATATTTCAAAGTCTCATAACAGTAGGTTTGATCTTCTTTTTAAGTCTCAGTAGAGTGAACTTCTCTCACACCATCAAAACCTTCAATCCTCATGTCTTACCCTCAAGTGAAGTCTTTCTCTTCTCCCCTCCAGTGTCTCTAGGAGTGTCTTTAGGACGAACCGACAAGCGATCTCTAGCGGCTTCCATCCTAACTACGTGCTTGCCTTCCCCACCAGTTCTAGACTGGACCCTTCGATTTGTCTTCGAAAATCACAAAAAATGGGATAACTTCGACAAGGCTACACTCATCTACACGAAAATTAGCATGAATTTAGGGATCTATAATACACACAAAATGGCACAAACTAGACGGCCGCAAATAAATTAGGCTTGGAGATAAAAAATAAAAACGTTTGGGAAGTTTTTATTTATTTATTCCTCATAAAGCCATAAGTTATTGATATGGTTTTAAAGAGCAATAATTGAGCTTTCCAACAGTTGTAGTAACATCGGCTTAGGAAAAAATCCTGAGGAGTTATGAATATTTTAGTGAACGCCATGAAAAAAATCCTTCCATAAAATTGAGTCGAAAAAAGTATATTTTTTTATTACAAAGTAAACTCGTATTTGAGAATTTTAGTGGGTCCTAAAAGCGAATTTGAATCGATTTTTCATGACAAAAATTTATTTGGCCTGCTTTACTGGAAGCGCCTTTGGGTTTTTGTGATTTTTTATACATTACAATTAGTTTAATATAATTAGGAATATGTTTTTCTTTTATTACACAAAAAAAGCAATCGATTGATATATAAAAATTTATATATCCATGCAAAGCAAAATTAGAAAACAGTAACATAAAAAACAATGAAATTTTATAAAACTTTTTTTTTCACCTTGGTAAGAACCTTTGGACATGGATGAAATATTTTTCGACCTAGTATCACCAATATTTTTCATTGAAATTGGTGAACCCAAGTCCGTAATCTCCCCTTTTAGTTTTAACATTTTTTCTTCACCATTTATTTTAGACGTTGAAACAGTTTCAGATGAGTTATTAAATGGAATAAATAGATTTACAGAATGACACGGATTTAAGAAATAAATTCCAAAATGATAATAATACATTTTATTAATGATGTATTATCAATTTTTTCATACGTTACATATTAAATATTAGTTTATATATACATAAACAGCTTCTCTAATGAGGTAGCCTTTCTTTTGGCGGTGTTTCCCTACTTATTTAAGCTCAAAAAATAGTCAATTTATAAGCTGGGAAACACATTTTAGCATTAAAGATAAGACAAGGGGCGGAGTCTAATTTAAATGACTGTGCGAGAAGGCAAGCACGTAGTTAAGATGGAAGCTGCTAGAGATCGCTGGAAAAGTAGACAGTTACAGTGGCTTAATAATATTATTATTAAGCCACTGTAAGACAGTCGGTTCGTCCTAAAGATCTCTCTACTGCTGCTGCTATCTACTGGACTCTTTTCCAGGCTCCAGCCTTTCTTCTGCATAGTTGAGTCAAATTCATAACGCACTCATTCCATCCCTATACATTTATCATCATTCCCTCACTCTTGGTCACTTAAGGGTAGGTCGAGGCCATCCACTACAAGTAGAATTAGTGGCAGAAAAATTGATGAAAGTAGTTTAAAATAACGGATTTTACTTTGAAGAGTATTATTCAATAATGTTTAAAATATGTAAGATGAAATAAAGCTATTCTTATCAGCAAGGACTTTAGTAACAACCTAATACTGTTTCTTGGTCACTGGTTTTAGAGTTTTCTACCTTAATTAATTATCTTAATAAAGAGTACCCACTTTATGAAGCTTGGTGTGCTCTAGGAGCGTTCGCAAACCAAAGGTCGACATGATAGAATAAATAATTGTCTACTACATCCGTTGATGTTTTAAGTGAAGATCAAATACATTCAGAAATAAAATAGAACACAAAAAACTTTTAATAATGAACTATTAACACAAAAAACTATTAAAAATAAATAATAAAAGAATGAGGTAAAATAAAATTTACACTTAAATCTGTGAAGTTAACCATCAATATAAGTCAAGCTAAAATTAATTAAGGAAGAGGTGCTAATATGGAACTCCAGTTTGTTTTTGACTTACTGATATAATGATATTTCTGACTGATATTTTTTATTTTTTACTATCAAAACTGTTATTAAACAAAATAATAATGAAATAAAAATGATATTATTTTTTTAAAAATATAATACCTGACAAATATGGGTTTATTTAAATTTTTCTTATATACCTTACTAATAAGTTTTTTTTTATAATGTAAATGTAAAATATTTTTATAGGTTTCAGTCATTATTAAATCAATTTTTATTTTTTTTAATAAGCGATTTATTGTGTACAATTTTGTATTTAATTTACTTAAAATTATAATAAATTAAAACTCGAATTCAATGTTAATCTTGTTCCACATTCAAAAACATTGAGGTCCGATATATTGATATATTTTTTTTATGTCCAATTACTATTATGATATATATATATATTTTTGATACTTGATCGTATCAATGTGATATGATATATATATTTTTTGATACTTACAACACTAACTTGAGGTGCAGATAACATGGAACTTAATGTTTAGTTTTACATATTTTAGTTCATTATTTTCAATAATGAACCATTTTAATTGACCAAAAAATTTGAGGTTTTACGTTTCAGTATACGTATTCAGAACATTCAGAACTCAAAAATCAAATAAAAAATGCTTGTCTGTCCGCGGCTTTTCTCTGAAACTACTGGACCGATTTTTTTCAGATGTGAAATCAAAGTTAGAAGATACCTGACGATGATCCTCATACCTTGACATTACTATTCAATCTTTCCTTCCAAGATGGCGGCGTATAGCCTGTAGTGCCTGAAACAGATGTACCGTTATTGAAACGTGGCTAAAATTTTCTCCTTCGAAGCCCATTAAATTTCTTTATACAACACACTTCGACCAAAAGAAGCTTAAAAAAAAGTTACAAGGGATAATAAAATTAGATTTCCAAATAGCTCAAAAAGTATAAACTTTTTTTGCGATTTTTATAATCAGGTGTTTCAAAGTTATTTAAATTTCCTTAAAAGCATTGTTAAAAAAAGGACAATGTGGTGCAAAGATATGGTTTCCTTAACATTTTCCATATTTTCTACTGTTAAACTCATACATTTGTTTTGGTTTTATATTTTTGGAAAATTTTACTTCAACTGAAGCAATGTTGTCTATTTTTCTTGGCAAATTATTATTACCAATATTAGGAGTCACCTTTTATTTATTTTCCTTTATGTGACAAGGAAAGTAATGTTACTCTTGAAGGTATAATTGCTTGGGAATAATAAACCATTGTATAATAATAATAATGGTTTCTATTTATATGTTTTTTTTTTGGTTTCTACCCCTCCCCCAATTATAGGTCAAAAGGAGGATGTTGCTCTAGATGATACATTTTAGAACATGAGGCATTAGAAATTTGACGATGGAGCACATTATTATTAAATTTAAGCCTTGCATCCACAAGAGTATTGGGATTGCAGTTCCGAAGATGGGAATAAATATCCCGAAACCTCAACTAACTTGTTAACATGTAACGTTGATAGTAAAATATACTCAATTGTTAACAACTGGAAGTTATTATTGCCAAACAACTAAAATGTTTTTTTATTTCTTAAACAAGAACTCAGAGCATCATTCATAATAGTTCCTACTGAAGCTTTTTTATTATTGCTTCTATTCTGAAATGATCAATGAAAATGTTTGTTCTAGTTTCCATATTACCAGTACTGTCAATTTAGATTTGAAGTTTGAAACGTCAAAAAAAAAAAAAAAAAAAAAAAGAAGAAATGACACTCAAGAAAAGAAAAGAAGAATTAAAATACATCACTTTGAATTGAAGTAGAATGTGGACTCCTATAATTTTTTTTTTTTTTTATAAAATCACAAAAATAACAGTTTGAACTTATTCTCTCAAAATTTTTGAAGAATCAATAAAATAAAAATTGAACTTTTTAAGACTAACATGGAATAGAAACTGAAGTAACAATGTGCTTTGGACATTATCGCTCATAGTTACAGATCAAGGCAGATAGAAAGTGTTAACTCATTATCACTAACCTCCAAGATATCATTATTTACCATATCAAACCCAGAGTTCCATATTCTTACAACTTCCCCATAATTATAGCCTTATAGTTATAACACTAAATGTAAACAATTTTAAATAGATGTATTGCAATATAGATAAATATAAGGTTGTATATCACTTTATTAAAAAATTTAGGTTACTAATATACTCAACCAAAGAAACGATCCGTGGAACAACCATAAAAAAATAAAAAAAAAATAATGACAGGTTAGAAAAATAAATTAATTATGAAATGTTTGTGATATGAGATACAAAGATTCGACAATAATATTTTTTTTTTCTATTCTGTATGTTTTACAAGGTGCAGAAAAACAGGTTAGCCCTTGCTCCATAACCAATCACTTTGTCAATGGGCGTTGTCTTACCACAAACTAACTTGGGGTCAAGAAAACTGATTTATCCATCAAGATTCATGGATTGTTGTTCAAAGTCAGCAGACACACAAGGATCTATATTTCCTATTCCTAATAAGACACATCTTTTTTTTTTTTTTTGCCCTCTCCTTCGTCTTATTTTAAGCTTTATAGAGTTTTTCCTGGGCCGTGTGTGAGTCAAAAAGAGTTAAAAGTCCAATTGGTACCGGAACATGAATTCATAATTATTAGAAGACATTATCTTTAGTTGATCAAGTTAGCGGCCAACAACTGTGCACACATGTTCGGCCACCCCACTCCCTCTAAACACAACAAACCATGGACCAAACTTCATGGTTCAACTTCGTGATTCTTGATTAAGGTATATAAGGTGGAATAATCATTCCTATGCTTGATCAGAGTAAGTTGCCTCCAGTGGTCTGATTGACTTTCTCCAGTGGGTGTTCATACATCCAAGTACTTACTGAGCTTGAGATAGCTTATTACAAGCTCGCATGGTCACCTATTCCCCCTCAGAAAAGAAGTATAAACATAGATTATTTAAAAACTCATTCAATTGTTAAGATTTACCAATTATATAGAAATAACTTCAGTGCCTTACCGCCTGGATGAGGCTGCTGCGTAGATCAGAGGCGATTAGACATAGGGTACCTCCTACCCCACATGAGGTTATATCATACGATTGTCCCCTGCAGCTGCTCTGATTGGGGAGCTACTAGGAGGCCTGTGTTAGAAGAAATCGACGGAGAACTGTTCTCTTCGGGAGGAGTCACCTCGAGGCCGATCGAACCGTTCAGAGCAATCTTGATCCCTGAAGTCTCTGTCGCAGGCGGCGGACACATCGACTGCAAATTAGAAAGCTATACATGCTTTAGTATCGAGGTCAGTCAAATATGGTATTAAAATTATACATTGATTTTCATGTTTTGGAAAATAAAATATTATAAAGTTCGTATGAGAAGTAGATGGTCAGGGGTTGCGATCAAATAAATACTAAATTTTTAGAATAGTATTTTAATGGCCTAACCATTAAAATTTTAGTATTTATTTGATTGCACCCCCGACCAACTCCTTCTCATACGAACTTAATAATATTTTATCTTTCAAAACTCCCAAACTTCCACGGTCAACCATCTCTACATCATTGTAAAGTTTGTACATCATTTAATATTTTGAATACTATAATCCACAATATCCACTTTGGCATATAACTAGAAACATTAAAGTTATCATAAAAACAATACAAAAATTATCTTTAATACTGACTTTAAACTTATAAGGCACGAAAATGTAAAGAAACAATAAATTGCGTTATTAGGATAATAACTGTTTAATAATAAATAGTTTTCTGAGAAGGAGTTAGTTGAGGGTGCGGTCAAATAAATAAAAAAATTAAAATATATAAATAATTTTAATTTATGCAAAGTGGGTCGAAACGTCAGGCAAAAATTAAAATTATTTATATATATATTTTAATTTATTTGACCGCACCCTCAACTAACTCCTTCTCATATCATATCAACGGTCAACCATCTCTACATCATAAATAGTTTTCATTTTAATGTTATAAGAAAATATTGTTTTAAGCAATGAAGGGGAAAGGACTGCCTGCCATATTAAATAATCGACAAACATTTTATTAAATGTAAAATAAAATGAATTATGGCATGCATTGTGTTTTATTGTTGGATTATCAGAAAATTATTATATTAGTAAGATATAATTAAATAAGGAAAGGAAATGTGAAGACGTTTAAATAACTTGATGATAAGCCAATGTGGCTGAAAACGTTTTAAATACATAAATGAATAGATGAAGTGGAAAGAGTAATTATTTCCTAAAAAAAAATTATATGATATTTTAGAATTACTTTCTTAGGAAAGTAATATAGGGGAGGGAATATGTAAATATATAGGTTGAGACCTAGTATTGAGAGAGTGGATAGAGGAGTGCAGTTAGGAGCTCCAGGATGTAGGGAGGGTTTTTTGGTTCTGAAGACTTTCTTAGGAAAGTAAAACCGACACTAAAAATCAAAAATAAAAATAATAATACTATCAAATAATGTATAAAGTGACGGGAAATGGGGCATAAACAGAGAAAATACAAACTTCAAATAAAATACTCTGAAGTAACCAATTATTGCTCAATAGAACAAACAGTTTTTGACTAGGGTAATACAAGTAAATTAGCAATAATCTTTTGATATCTTGACAACAGGTTTTATAAGAAGAAAAGTAAATTAGCAATAATCTTTTGATATCTTGACAACAGGTTTTATAAGAAGAAAAGTAAATTATAGAGTCGAGGTATTCACACAAGTGAGGAAGTGAGTTTCATAAGGAAGCAGCACGAATGATGAAGGATTTGCTGAAGGAGGAAGTTTTATGGGAGGGAATATATAAATCTATAGGTTGAGACCTAGTATTGAGAGAGTGGATAGAGGAGCGCAGAGTTAGGAGTTCCAGGATGTAGGGAGGGTTTTTGGTTCTGAAGACTTGGAAAAGGAAAACACCAAGGAGGAATTGTCATCGGGAAGTAGAATAAAGCCACTTCAACTCGGTGTACCAGAGTGAAACATGTGAACGCCTGGGGATCCTGAAAATGTATCTTATGAAACAATTCATGAGTCTTTATTTAGTCTCATTTCCAGCCTGGCAGATAGCCCTCCATACACCAAACAGCCATAGACGAAGTGGGGGAATACAAAGGAGGTTACAAGGAGCTGTCTGGTTTTTAGAGGAATACAATCACGGAATCTTAGGAGTTGTTTAAGGGCAGTTATGGATTTTCGGGTAATCTGGGAGATATGATTATTCCAGGAGAGGTTCTGGTCAAAGGTTACTCCTAGGTTTGTTTGTGTACAATATCCACAGAAATAAAATGTAAAGACATTTAGGATTTCATCTATGTATTCATCAATTCTAATAAATATTTTATTCACTTCGCTTCACCATTTTAAAAATATACCAAATGTTAGCAGATCAATTATGAACTCATAAAGTTTGTTTACAGTAGAATCATAAAATTACTATAACACTTTAGCACATTAGCACAGAAAGGTTATTTACTATTGATTCAAAATTTGCACTGACTGCTAGGCATTATAGCAAAATAAGAAAAAGTTGTAAAAATATATCAATAGTTTCATATCTGCAAAAACAAGTAAAAACAATAAATGTTCTGATGATAGAGAGAACGTTCCTCGAAAGGTCAAATAGATCTATTATAAGTATGATGATCTATATTTTAAATGAAGTCAAATTGTCAACCGCAACATTATAATCCATTAAAAAATAACACAACTTTCTAATTTAGCAAAATCAAAAATCAAATATACCAAGTTGGTGTGAGACGATTAAATAGTTATAGAAGAAAGATATTTCTCTAGATAAAAAGATAGCTCTCTAGACAGAAGTAAGTTCTATAGTTAGAAAATAGGTCTCTAGACAGAAAGTGGTTCTCTAGATAGAGAATAGGTCTCTAGATACCTGTAGAGGATAGTGACCAAGGCCGATCTCTTCCAAGCTAGACTTCCTCATCGTCAGTCCCTGCCTCAATGAGTTACTTCTTCTCATCAGAATATCATCAACCACCCTCAGGGAATTTGACCTATATAGGTAAGTTAAATTTATTAAGTTTTTGATCTAAATTAGCATTTAAATAATCTTTAATTTTTTAATAAAAGATTGTAGTTTAAAGTCTATTGGATCCATCGGAAGTAATTGACTTTACCTTCCCCTGAATGTGCCTGCGACTGTTGGCGAGTCTGGGAGAGAAAGTGAGTTGGCTTTAGTCGTGGACAGCGGTGGTCGGGGCGGGGGAAAGTACTGTCCCGACCCTCGCCTCGACCCAGCTCCTGCACCCGCCAACAGGCCCGTGCTGCAGAAGCTGATGTTGGACTTTCTACGTGAGTTGTGCCTCTCGAATGTCTTCTGAGCAGAGAATGGGCTTGGTCGTATCAAATATCTGAAATCAGTTAGCAGGATCAATAGAGAGCAGTTTACAATCAAAAGAAATTAACTAAAAATGTAAAATGGGTGATAAATATTCAGGACGCAGTCTTTTTGAAATTTTTTTATTTTTGTCAACGTTTCAACCCAAACATGCGGGTCATCTTTAGGGCTGAAAATGTTTTTTAAAATTACAATCAGAGATATAATAGTATACGACCGCTAATTATAAATTATAAACTTGATAGTGATATAGTGATTGATGGTACCGCTCAATCTGCTCCTACAACTATCAAATATTGTATATCATATCACATGCCCTAGCCCAAACTGCAATTCTTCTTATATAGGAGAAACCAAAAACTATTTAAAAAAAATAATTCTATCAACACAAATACAGCATCTCCACACGAAACCCGTTCGGCTCAAAACTAGCGGAACACGCCATAACCCTAAAACAAACATTTGATTTAAAAAACCCAACCATACTCGCCACAGTTCTCAATCACCAAAAACGACTACTATCGGAATCTATATTCATTAATTTGGAAAAAAGTAATCCGGTAAACCATAAAGTAGACAAAGAAAAGATCTGCAACACATATTCAAATATTTTCTGCCTCCTAAAACAATAGCCTATGTAATCCTTAATATAATTCAAACTTATATTATGATAAATATTGTTACTCTTAAAATATTGTCCTAAGTATCATTTGCACAAATTGAAATTGTCTTTTTTATAAAAATTATTCATTTAACCCTTGTATACTTGCTATCAAACTAACCTATATTTATATTGATTGGCACCTTTTGCTTATGTTCAATTTAATACTAGCCAATAGTCACATTTCTGTAACCATATGAAATAACTCAAATATTGTACATGTCTGAAATATTTAGTCAGCAAATTATGTATATTCTTCAAACATAAATGTTATCCTCCTTCCTCTCTAACTATATTTACCTACCTTTTGCTATCAGAAAAATGACAACTGGGAAATCCTTCACCCCTGAACTTTTTACTTACCTACCAAACATGTGTCAGTACTTGAACACCCTTAGTGCTCAAACCACGGATAGTAAGAGAAAATATTACAAATTTATATGAATGGATTATATACATTATTTTTTATTTTTAGTTTTTATAACTATTTACATATTTAATTTTAATATGTGTATTGCAATATTAGTTAAGATTCATGTACCATCAATCACTGTAGTTTATTATTTATAATTAGTGGTTGTATACTATTATATCTCTGATTGTAATTTTAAAAAACATTTTCAGCCCTGAAGTTGACCCACATGTTTGGGTTGAAACGTTGACAAAAATAAAAAAATTTAAAAAAGACTGCGTCCTGAATATTTATCACCCATGATATGTAGAACAGTCGACTTCCTTCAAGAAATAAAAATGTAAAAGGTTTATCACATTGAAATAATTTAATTGACAAGTTCCTAAACTCAGCGCTTAGTTCATTGATAAAATCGAAAACCCATCAAACTAATTCTAAACACAACAATGGAAACTATGGATGGAATTCAGAGCATTCAGCGATTGAATCACTCGGTAGTTTTGTTGGCTTTTGTTGAGGTTTATGGATACGATGAAGGTAACCTCAATGTTCTTATTTCACAATCCACTTTACATAATTTTATTCAATTTACTTTCTTTCTATATTTGGTAAAAGTTCAGATGAGTTCCGCACGGATTAAGCGTGGTTCACAATCACTTCGATCACACTTGTTGAGGAATTGCCGAAAGCGTTCGGATTTATCCGAAAGAGAACAAAGGTGACTGATCTCTTGAGTCAGTTACTATTAACTTTCCCGCCATTTAAGCATTTTTATAACCTTAAACATGTTCAGTTCTATAGCAGGAGTCAAATTATATTCGAAATTTGGGCTACTATATAAAACCTTAATTGAACTTGTACATATATTATACAGCTGTGGAAAAAAAATAGTAATAGATAAAAACCTTTAATTATTATATTCTTGAAGGAAGTTAGTCGACTGTTCTACATATCATGGGTGATAAATATTCAAGACGCAGTCTTTTTAATAAGGACAACTGGGAAATCCTCTCCCCCTGATCTTTTCACTTAGCTACCAAATGTGTCATTACTTGAACACCCTCAGTGCTCAAACCACGGCTAGTAAGAGAAAATATTACAAATTTGTATAAATGGATTACATACATTATTTTTTTAATTTTTAGTTTGTATAACTATTTACATATTTCATTTTTAATATGTATATTTCAATATTAGTTAAGATTCATGTACCATCAATGGTTTTATAGATTCTAATTTTTAAATTGAGGGACAAGAGTTAAGTAAATAAAATTGTCACGAGTTAAGTAGTTTTGTCGCAGAAAAATAACAAGCATTTCCCGCCTTCAGTCTAACGTTAATATCATCTTCAATTTCGTTTTTTTCTAGTTATCGTGGACCCTAGATCCCTAAACTTCTCTACCTGTTCATACAGTTTCAAACAACAACAATCATATTTCTTTATATAATAAACATATAATCACAAATAAGTATAATAAAAAAAAACTTACATTATATCTCCCTCCTCCAATTTAAGGTCGCAGGATGGATTTATGATGACATACGACAGACTCGACCTCTTTTCACTGACGTCGTCATAATCTATCGAAGGCAGGTTCAGACTCTCCATCCTTGACCTGACTAGGTTGGCTATCTCAGCTCTTTCTATCATTTCAGTGTGGTTATCTTTCGCCTCGTCTCCCATGTTTATTGAATACTGAAATGCACATTAATAATCATTCTCATACAACAACAATTATAATACAATCATAAATATATTTATTCAACTACGTGAAGATAATTTACTATAGAATTCTGGTTTAGTGCTCTTCTACATACATTTTATCTACTACTATTTTATTAATTTGTTTGATTATAATATTTTTCTGCTGATTGTGTTTTTCTATATTAGGTTTTAAAAACTTAAATCAACCCAAATAAATACTTAATTGGTTCATTCTCTCAAGATGAATTAATAAGAAGTAATTAATGGTAAATATAAGACTAGGAGCAGAAAAGTTTGAGATGGAATCAAAATGTTATTTAAAAATCAAACATCTGTTGCTATTTATTTTTATTATGATTTTAAGTTCCTAGCTGCTACTATGTGGTTTATTGAAAACTGATTATTAGTAACATTTAATTATAAGTAGTAATCATAACTTGCTTAATTTTAATATTATAATGGTTTTGGATGTGGAAAGGTATAAAAAAAAGGAAAGGAATTACAAAGATGTATATAGTACGAGTCAGTTGCTAGTTTTAGACCAATGAGATTTGAGAGAATGGTCTGGACCTGCCTAAAATGATCCACTGTATACACGTCGCCAGGTTAAACTACATTTAGTCAGAGAGTAATAATAGTTATTCATTTAATGCTTCGTCAGTCTGTTCGAATTTAACTCAGGAATGAGTTATTTGATCAACAATTAGTTGAAATCTTTGTTATAAAAGATTGATAGTAACAAGCAGTGTCTTGTCAAGTTTCAATTATATTTTTATTTATATTGAATACAAAGCACTCAGTAAGGATTGTAATTAATTGACAATTTAAATAGTTATTCATTGATAACAATAATCAATAAATTGTTAAATTTAGTTGTCAATAATCAAAACTGATTGAAGATCTGTAATCAGGAGGTAAAGAACGCCATGTCCATTTTGATATTTGTTCAGGAGAGCCAATTTTCCATTATTTTTAGCTATTAAAATTTGTTTCTTTGTTACTAAATCTGTACCTCGGAAGTTAAGGACACCATGTCACATCTTTGTATTTGTTCAGGGCCAGTCATTTTTTTATAACTGAGCTATTAATATTTGTTTCTTAGTAATTAAATCATTTAATAAAAAAAATGGGCATGCTGTTCTTTACCTCCAGGATACAGAAATATGATATTATATTAGGCAATTTTAAAAGAGACTCAAAAATTTTAGTATTCCACATCCTATATAGATATGATATTCCATAATGCATTATTCCATTTTGACATAGTTGAAAATCCATCCTCCTCTATCTCTATAAATTGGTTTTTATGCGGAGAAAATACAAAAATTACCTAGTCCTGTCATAAATATTGTTACAAGGAAATATATACTGATTTCAACAGAAAAAATTATTTTTTTCAAAAACTATCAGAAAATAAAATGTATATCTACAGAGAATAAAACAAAAAATAAATTACTCAAAATGTCACCCTTTTGCCTTGAAAAGCATTTAATTTTTGGGTCCAGTAATCAGCAACCAGCACTTCTTGAGGAAAGCGCTCAACTGCTCGAACCAGAGATTGTTTGAGGCTTTCCAAATTGGGGTGTGCTCTGTGGCATGCCATCCTCTCCAGTTCGGACCAAACCCGATAATCTAGTGGGTTGAGATCAGTGCTTCCTGAGGGCCAATCCGAGGCAGAGATAACTCTGGAATGTTCTTTTGCAGCCATTGCTGAATTGAACTGGTCTTGTGAGCTGTTTTTTTTTCACGATTTCGGCAATTCAATTTTTCTTCAAATGTAAAAGTTTTCTCATCATTAAACAAAATCTTTTGATGAAGACCATTGATGCAATGGCCAAGAAGCACTTTGCATCTATCCATTCTAAAGTGGTTAGCTTTTGTCCTGTCATTCTTCGAAATGCACCCATCCTAAGCTCACTTTTTATTATGCGAGACATTGATCTGACAGAGATTTCCATTTCCCGAGACAAGATTTTTATTTTCAAATGGTATTTCTTCTGATTCGAGAAGCCACTGCTCTCACTGCATTTGCCATTCTTGCAGTGCGGAGATAGCCCGGTCGAGGTCTGTCACGTACAGATAGGGTCTCTATCTATTTATAGTGCATTACACGAACATACGGCTGACACCCAAAGGTTTCTCAGAACTATATTTTCCAACTTTGTATAAGGCGATCACAGATATTCTGTTTTCTTTATCATCCCACTCCATAAACTAATTGGGATTATTATCCTGACATGTAAAGAAAATAACAAGATAGAGGAGGTAAGGATGTAAATAAATTTCAACTTTTGTAGCAGTAATTATGGCAGAACTAGATACATAAATATTTTTTGAAATTTTAAATATTATATTCATAAATGCAAATCAGTTAAATCTCTACCACCGGATATCTCCTCCAATGGACACAAAACAAACAATTTTGAAATGTCCCAGTTGGAAGTATAGGAATTTATCTCAATTTTTTTTTTTTGGGTGAGGGAGAGACGAGTGAAACATATTAATCAATGAAGGAAATAAACGCTTCTCAACAGACACTTACAAAATTTAAAAATCAAGAAAACCACATTTAGTTCTTTTAACCTTATTTAGAAACACACTTTTGAATAAGAATACGTTATTTTTCATAAAATTTTGTGATTTGTTTTCCTCATTTCTCAGTAAGGGTTTTCATAGAAATCCTATCTCTGACTAAAATTATTTTTTTCTTAAAATCCAACATGCCTCAGCTGTTTCTGTTCTTTCTAATTAAAACATTATGAATGGGGCAGTATAGAATTTCTTACAGCAGCATGAAAATAGATATAATCGATAGAAATTCAAATTATCGAAAATGAAAATATGATAAAATTTCGATCCTGCATTCTAGCAATTGTAGATTGAACACACCAGTTATGGGCAGATTGGACTTTAAATGTAAATAATAAGCTTCCTTCTTGATTTTCATTTTTTTCTGGAAATCAAGAAGAGTTCCTGACTTCTTTTCAAGTTCCTGTTTTTTCTAGATTGAAGAACAATGTCCTCTATTGACAACTGTGTGAAAAAAGATTCCAAAAGAAATTTTTTGAATGCCTATCATTGTTGTTTCTATAGTGCTCTTGAGATCAGTGTTTCATATTTTCCTACTAACAATTTTTTTAAGTTGAACATTTATGTTAAGTTTTCTTTATAGTTAAATAAAGATTTTAGAATGTTTCTGAGATATGTCCATTACTAGAACAACTGAATTTTGGGGTGTCCATCGCTAGTACAAAAAGGTGTTGTTTTTTTTAAATGGTGATTATACCTTCCTTCATAACTGAATATTTTTTCACTTTTAAAGTGTTCCCCAGAGATTCTTAATGTCCAACGGAGATGTTTATAATTATAATAATTACGGCAGCATAAGCCAAAAAGTATAAAAATGTCTGTAGCTATGTCCATCACTGGTGTTCTTACCCTAATTCTAATTAAAATATTTTTAAAGAGTGAATATAAAATCATCTAACATTCATAAAAGCACATAGTAGTATGGAATTTAAAACATCTTTGTTGTTTGAGCTGAATTGATAGTGATATTAGAGTGGTGATTTTCATATTCGATAGTTAGCATTTGTATCAACAATATTAAATTTCATATGGAAGTTAGTAAATTATAAAGTTATACTTTTTATGTCTTCTATCAGATTTAACTTTTATTTCACATTTAGTGATTTTTGTTCAGGAGCGATGTTCAAAAAACAAATTTCACTCCCATGCATGAATACTGCATTTTATTTTTCTTAAATAAGATTTCCCCTAAATTTCCATTACTTAGTGACAGAGGAAAAAAATGTATTTTTTATTTTAATATTACCAATTCTTATGTAGATAAACTTAGAACCATTTTTGAGAAAAATTATACTTAATATTTGTTTAACTGACATAGTTCATTTGCATTCTTTATAAAACTAATTAGATTTAAAAAATATTTTAATTCTAATGCACACTACTCGTCAAGTAATGCTTCAACATTAGCAAAATCAGAATACATTTTTTTATTTTAAAGAAAAAAGAAAATGTCAATTCATTAAAAATACAACTAAAAAGCAAAATATAATAAACTAACATTACTTAAAAAATAAGTAAATACATTGTACAATAGTTTACAAAAATAATCTCAAAAATACTTTCATTATTTAGCAAATTAAATGTGGTCGAGAGTAAGGTGCAGGGGTGTTAATTAATAAAATAGCATGCTGTTACTTCAGTGCAATTGCATGTGGTTAACATTCGCTTAATTTTTATTTATGTAAACAAAACCTTCATAAAATAGTTCATTTGTCGTCTAGTTTATATCCCCAGAAAGTAGAATTTACTTTATAGATATATTTTGATTTTTTTTTTTTGGTTTTTCTAACAGGAATGTTACACAATTGACTTCGGTTGAAAGGACTTACCTGAGACTGTTGGTGAGCTCCGTTGTTAGTAGGAACGGGTTGATATGCCATGCTTCCGTCGTCAGCGTTCGAACACTGCTCCTAGTCGAGCAGCGCAAGTAACAGAAAACAAACATATCTGGTCCCGAATCACATTTCAAAAATGTTCTCAATAATTACAGATAAAAGTGGGTTTTTTAACATGATAAATTATTAATGGGGAAGTTTATTTGATCAAATTACATTTTAAATTATTTTTTTTTTTTTTATTTTCAGTTTCTGAGATATTTTGATCCATATCGTCAATAATTCATATATTTGGTTTTTGACACTATTTTCCCCTTTTCACCTCTCTAACATGGTGGCGCGTTAACATAAAATTTTGATTAATAGCTCATTAAAATGAAAATGAAATGCTGGACTTTTCCCTCACTTACAGTATGCAAGTCCGATTTTTAATTTCTGAAATATTTTAATCCGCATTCAATTACTTGACTTTACCTGAGTGAGCAGTACACATCCACAAGCCTGATGGCTCAGGCTCATTCACTCGCCAAAAATAAAGTGCAAAACGAGCTAAAAGAAGTTTTCACTTCAAAAAGTAATGTAATGTTCTAGATTGTTTCGAATCGATTGGTCGAACGACCACATGAAAAGACAAGTAAAATATTGCTTCAAATGGATAGAATCACTTTACTGGTTTCTGTTATTGAGAACTAAATAAACATGTGTTTAACTCTAACTAAAAGAATCATCCGTTTTTAGATTTATTATACTGAGGAAGAAACGAATTATCATATTATCAGCTGGTAAGATGGCTTTGCAAATTTGATATTAGAGGTTGATATTGAAGTGGTTCCTTTGCATTCCCTCTTCAAACTCAAAAAAAAACAAAAAAAAAAAACATACTTCAAAATGCCTAAAATCGCTTTCTAAAAACGGTTTACAATAAGTATGTGGATACATAAGATATGGAGATAAAAATCCATATACTGTTTAAATCCAATGGAGTAATAGTGTTTTGCACGACTTGTGAAAAAACCATTGGAAGTGATAAAAGATCCCAAATCTATCATCACTGTTATACCGGTAGGAGAACCCACCTACTTTGTAGGATAGGATGGCCAAGATGGTAGTGGCAAGGGTCCCATAATGCTCAGTACTGAACGTTGTGGATTCAATTCCCACCTGGGTCAGTTAATTTTCATTCCTCAGTGGCGCCAGGAGATGAATCTTGACATTCCCACTGTGGAAAGTGTGGAAATGTGGCAACCTCAAAGTTTTTTTTTTTTTCTTTTTCCCGTGGCAAAACTCAATGCTGTCATGAAGGCCTATTATGTACCCTAATTAATGTTGTTTTTAATAAGAGCATTATTCCAGTGATCTCTGTAAATTGAAAAAGGATTGTTTGATTACAACATCAAGGTAGCCGTAAGCGGTTAGCAAAAAGGACTATGTGGCCCATTTGCCTGATTGGTTTCCTCTACCAGTACCAGCACCGACCTACTTTACTTTGACTTGAATACTATTTGAATTTATGATAAATATAAAGCGGTGTAAAATAATCTACGTTACAATATTTTGACATTTTTTAATGAAAGTAATGTCACTTTTGAAGAAGATCCTAAATCATTTAATCTGTTACAATTTCCTATAATAATTGTGAAAATTGAACGTTATTCTTTTAATGTTAAAGCTAATTTTAACTGACAAGAGGTACATACTTACTGAATTACAGTTAGAAATTTATTTAATTATTAATTTATAAGGGAAATTTGATACGATTATTTTTATTTTTCAAATAACTTATGTTGCTAATGTGATGATTTTAATTGGCCCTTAATTTATTTTGATGTTTGTACATTAATTGTATAGATCATAATAATCATGAATACATTAAGGTATGAAAAAGCATAACTATCTCTTTAATGATCTTCAAAAACTAATCAAAACTATGATTTTCTTTTATTCATCCTTTATTTAAAGTCACTCTTGTTTAGAGCGTAATTCCTGCAGTCTCAATGAACTGTAATAAGCTTGTTGGATTGATGAACTCATTTGCTTTGGGATCAGTCACATTATCAATGCCGATAATAGGAATCTTAGTCCAGCAAACCTGTCGCACCAATAAGTATTGTGATAAGCTGTCTAGTTGTCTTATCCTCCTGACCACAGTACATACAAAGAGACGACTCCATGAGCCGGAGATTGAACATGTGATAATTCAGTTTACAGTGCCCTGTATATGCTGCTGTAATTTTCTCAAGCGAGCTCCTGCTCAGATTAATTAGTAAGTTAGTTCTTTTTTGACAGATTGCTTCCAGAAACAGTCTAGAGTGAGTCTGTTTTTCAAGCACCACTTCTTTTTAGTTTCAGCACCATAGATCTCGCCAATTCTGTTTGTTATTAGACACTAATTCCAAAGATGGGTTCTGGAGCTATAGGTATCAGTTGTGAGCCTAGTCTAGTTAGTTCATCTGCCATTTCATTACCATCTATTCCAGAGTGACCCAGAACCCATTCAATGTTTACCTTATTAAGTCTGGATAAGTCATTGAGAATTTTCACACAATCCCCAACAGCTATAGTTGTATAGTTGTCCAGTGCTCGTATGGCCGCTTGACTGTCAGTATATATTGCAATTATCCTCCTATCTAACCCCTCAAGCAACATTTTGGAGGCACAGTGAGTTATCACCAGTATTTCAGATTAGAACACTGTTGCATAATTTCCAAGTGGTATTGACATGTCAGCCTCTGGTTTATCCTTTCTCCGAAAACCAGCACCAGATCCGCATGTCGGAAGTGACCTAACAGTATAACAATTAATCCCATTAACAGATTTAATTTAATAAAACTATGATTAATCTGTACCGATATTTCTTTTTTCTAAGTCAAGTTTAAGCCAACTTAAAAATTTCTGTTATGTGGTTGTCTATTATAAAGAAATTTTACATAGAGACAATTTCCTGTATAACATATTAGATTCACTCTTGATATTTTGAATAATGAATATGAAGAAAGTACCTATTGTTTCATACCAGACCTAATATTGACACAGTCAAAACCGATGTCTAATTAAGAAGAAATGTTTTACGAGAAACCTATCATGAAAGGTGCAGCAATGAATAAAGAGTTTTAAAAGAAGAAAACTAGAAGAAAAGAAAAAAAAGGAGAGTTGGTAGTAGATTAGTAGTGAATAAACATGACATTTTTAGTGATATTCCGTCATGCTGTTTTAATTAACTACCTCCTGAGGTCGCTTGTTACTGCTTTATGCACAAAATACTTTTAATTTAAATACTTTACTATACAGGTTTAGCTATTGTTTACGTTGCTCAGAGCCAAATATAACAAGCAAACTCAGCCTGAATGTTAAATATATAATTAAAATAAAATTATGAAATTTCTTTAAAAGAACTGCCAGGCAATTATAAATAAAAGTATATATTACTGTATTTACTTTAGAACCAAATCATTTCATAAAATCAAGCTTATAATTCATAAAAGTATAGTTAAATGCTAGAATTAATAATAATTAAAGCAAGCACAATTTTAAATATAAAAGTTAAGTTTAGTAATATGCATTCTATGTATTAAAAAGAAGATCACTTACCTGAGGAGAACCTGTAATATTGGTGTCTTGTGTTCTGTAGATACCGATCGGTATTTCACAGGTCGTAGAACACAGTTTCTGGTACAATCGACCATACGTTCTTATCCACATATCGTCCTTTGTTATTTTCATCTGAAAAATTAAGACATAGAAATGTTGAGAAAGAGTCAGAGACACTTAACAGAAAATCCTGTGGCAAGATAAAGAAGAAACCAGAATGGGAATTATTTCTAGATGCTCTACGCTCTAATAAGAATAAAAGGATTTGTAACATAAGAGGGCCCAATTACAAAGAATCATTAAATAAAAATTAATATTTACAATTTGACAAATCAAAATCCACAGCGTGTCTCGTAAGTAGAGGGAAATATTTAAAAGGTTGATAGTAGGCATCAAGATCTACAGAAAAGTTCATATAAACAATTGCCTAATTCCCAGCAGAGAAGTAGGAAATTTAAGATTTGTGTTTTTTTAAGCGAATCACATTTTTCGTTTAATAAGAAGCGACAACAAAAAAATACTTGATTTAAGTAATTAAACATTGCTCGACAATAAAGTAGACAAAATTTTCTTCAGATGAAAGTAGAATTTGTCAATGTTAAAACCATTTAAAGAGAACTTCTGAGCAGACAAACTCAGCTCCGGACAAACTCCCTCATTTCTGGAGGGACTGAAATGAAGTGGGCGAAGCCCCAATATAACATGAAAAGCTAATGTTACTGAACATATTAATTACAACATTGATGATGGACATATAACGGAGGACTCATCAAGTTTTGAAAACGACCCTTAGTATGGTCGAAACGTCGAATTAATGCGTATCAATAAAATGTTGGTGAAAACTGGCCTAATTTATTGTAAAAAATAAAAAACTTCAAGACACCAAAAGTAGGAAAAATGAACAGATTAAAAATAACGATTTTTCAAATATTATTCATATAAGGTGGTTGTAAAATTGTAATATTCTCTCAGATTTCTGTCATAGGAAATGAGGCGTATTTATAAGTGACAAACTTAATGTTTCTAGACATAATATTCAGTTCTTCATGATAATGATTAAAGGAATCAGTATGTTTCTTTATGTTAAATGTAAATTTTAGTAAGAAACATTAAGTGTGTCACTGATGAATACATTTCAATTCCTATGAAAGAGATCTTGGAGTTCAATAGTTTCATAAATAGAAAAACACAATTTTATAACCACCTTATATGAATAATATTTTTAAAATCTATTTTTAATTTTTATAAATAAAATATGTTATAGGCTTTTAGGCAATTATGTTTATTACGATATATCCCATATCACGAAAAAATTTTAAATAAAATCTTTACAACTAATAATTGTAGTCATTTTTGCTGTGAAGAAAAATCGTTTCCGCAACAAACTTGCCAGATGCTCAGTGGAGATGGCAGGGTCCGCAAAAAAAAAAAAAAAAAAAAAAAAAAAAAAAAAAAAAAAAAAAAAAAAAATTAAGAGTCAATTAAATATTATTAACTATCTAACAGGCACCACACTATTTAATTTGTTGAATTTGGAAAATAGCGAAAACCATAAAAAAAAAAATTAAATAATTCAATTAAAAAATAATAAACCAAAAAAAGATTATTGCGCGAAGTGAGCTACGAACTCGGAACATTTGGGTTTAAAAAAACATATGTTAATTAACCTAGTAACCTATCGAACCTTCTTACTTGGTTAATAATGATTTTCTCTAATCCCTCGAATAGGGTTTTACAATTCCTTATAAAACCTTAAAAAAGAAAAACAATATAATATATACACAAAACGTGAAAACAAACTGAAGAAAAATAAAAAAATAAAACTGGATATTATTAATACTAATGATGAATTTACTTATTTCTATGGATTTAAATAATTGTTAAAGGAAATGAAAATTATGAACAAGAAATTAGATTTATAAGAAAACAAAGAAAATACAATTGACTTTAATTATAAAAAAAAAGAATATAAAATTATTAAAGAACTATACATTAACCTACAAATATACAATATACCAATTACAAACATTTAGAAATAAAAATAGATAGAAAAAAAGTGCATATTTACAAAATCTGAATGCCAACTTTGTCCAATTGGCACATTGAGTTATCTGAGGAAGGGGGAACTTATTCCAGCTAGCGACGTTAAGGTCTCCCCAGTCCACCTCTCTAAACTGTGAAAATGTTCATTCACCAACGTAGAAAATCAATCGGCACTCGTCGCTGATAATCACATGTTCTTGGAGAAGAAATGAAAATCCGGTGTACACCGTAAAACTAAAGTATTTCACACATAAAAATCCTTAACATGCCTCAACACTCGCGAGGTTCCGCCATCTCTCTCTAAACTGTCTTTTGTTTTTTCTCCCAATCAGCTGTTGGTTATTCCACTCCGAAATAAAATGAATACTTAAAACTAAGACTTATTATAAACTAATACTTATTATTAAAACTAATACTAAATACTTAATTATATATTTAACCTTCTTCGAGTAATTAATAAAACTAGCAATAATTTTACGAACTAATTCTTTTTTTTGTATTTTATTTTTTGTCACAAACTATATGCCTCACAACTGCGACCATCTTGCTGCGACTTTTATTCTCCCTGCAACACTTATGGAGACAGCCCTGATGAAGGCCTGAACTTCAGGTCGAAACATCGGCATATGTAAAAATAAATATTATCATTTATTTTTGCCTTCTTTTTTGACTGACCACCCCAACTATTCTTCTCTTCATTATCCACGACAGTCAACCATTTACCAATTATAAATGAATAGATCTTCTTAATCTTCAGCGGAGTGGGCTTCTCTCCTCTGGTAACATCCTTCCGACTTCCTGTCCCAGCCTCAAGTGAAGTCTTGTTTGTTCTCTCAGCGTCCTTCTCCAACTGCTGCCACTTTTCCAGGCTTCTTCCTTTCTTTGTTCTGTACCTTTTTCGTCGATTCTTTATAGATTTGATTCTTTTCAATAAACAACTTCTCCATTGAACAATTGAGTCCAATTTTTAGTGTAACCCTACGTTCTTTCTCATTCCCTTACACAATATCATATAAAGGAGTAAATACTAGAGGCTATCTGCTACACTAAATTCTGCAAGAGTTCTGTATTTTAAATTAATAATTTAAATAAAAAAAAAAAAAAAAAAAGATATTTGGATTATTCAATTCATAATCACATTTCTTACTCTTTTATATTTAAAGTTTTATAAATTGTAGGTATATTTTTTGAACAGAATTTATATATATTGCAGCGTGTTCCTCAGGATGGCAGGAGACCTCAAAATGAATAAGAAATTTGGTAAGTATTGCATAAAACTAATAAAGAAAATGTTTTCAATTTTCTTTTTTTTTTTTTTTTTAAGACATTTAGTAACAATATTATAAAGATGAAAAACTTACCGATGTTAAAAAACCTGAGCCTGGGGCTTGGTCGACACCCAAGAGCAATCTTACAAAAGTGATAACATAGTCCTTCACAAACGCTTGATACAACAGAGTGTCCAACATACTTGCGCTGAATACAGATCCGGCAGCGAACGGCAACCGAAACATGTACGAAATATGAGAACCCCTCTCTTTTTCTCTCTAAAACAATAAATTAAAAAAACAAATTATTTAATGAAACCATCGTTTTTACACCGTGTAGGACTAAGCTTAGAGGTTCAGAAATGAATAATATAATTCTGTACGAATGAATAATATACGTACTATAATATAATAATAAAATAAAGCAGGTTTCTTCTGTGCCTGAAAGAATATTAAGAGGATTTGTTCTTTTTAAGTGTTTTTGTGGGATATAGGGTTGAATACTTGTAAAATCGATATAGACACAATAGAGAAATGTAATTTTGTTAGAACTTACAATAAAAAAAATCTTAATTTATAAATAAATTCTAAATATAATAAATTGTGATCAGTTCATATGATTTGTTTATAATGCCTGGTGAATGAAGAATGGCAAGTGTTCTCATACATTGTTCATTCCAGTGAAATGTGTACTGGTATACCATTCTAGTTTCTGAAATTAAATAAATGAATATTTTTGTTTTAAAAGTAGTTTAAAAAAAGAAAAAAAAGAAATAGTGTTTGACAACTCTCAAAGTAATCAACATAACAACATACAGTTTATTAAAAGACAAAATGTAGATTTTGGTTTTCTTGATTTTCCAGTGTAAAAATTAATTAACTTTGACACCCTATCACTACTGTAATTTTTTTTTCTAGTTACTTTTAATATTTGTCATGATTTTTAATTGACTGATTCTTATCAGTAAAGTTTTATCAGCCGATATTTCAATCTACAGCTTAAATAGATAGGAAGTATCAAATAATTAAAAAAATACTCATTGGGAGGAAGATAAAAGTTACACAAAATGAAAAAAAAAAAAAAAAATAGAGAATGACCGGCATAAAAATAATCATTAACAGATTAGTAACCATGGCTTATTATTTTGCGTGGCGATTATGTCTCATTGTCAGTATTAGAAACATCTGTTATATTTTATTTCATGTCAGAATGTCTAAAGTATACGTCACTAAAAATTCATATTTTCTACAGTCTAAAAAAAATTCTTCTAAAAATAGTCTAATCTATATTCATTGTTAATAAAATTAGCTATCTCCGTAAAATTAGTATGTTACAGTGAAAAATAATTGTTAAATCAGAAAACCATGCATTATCGAAACAAAGGATTCATATTTTCTTTTTTCAAATATGTTCATGCAGAAAAACATGTCAAATCCAGCTTTAATGGTCAGCCAAATAAAATATAATTTTATTAAAATCTACGAGTGAATTGACAGACAAGAGAAGATCATTTATCCTACTAAAAATGCAGGCATTTGCAAGACAATGTACGTACATTTTCAGATGCTGGTCCGATCGGACCACTCCCATTCGGTTTCTCTAGGTTCGGCCCAAACTGAAATTTTTCAAAATGAATAATGAAGTATTTATAATGATTATAATAATAATAAAAGGCTTATTGAACCCGAAGGTTCAATGCCGATACCAACATTTGCCGTTTAACTCCCCCCTTTCACTGACCGCTGTCTAAACCAAAATCCAAAAGATCAACGTTAACGCAATCCTCCCACCTTCACTTCAATCTACCCCTCGTAATTAATCTTTTAGAGATTCAATCTGTTAAAGAAAAGCTGTTACCTCAACTATATTTACCAGGTACAGCATTGTCCGTCTAAAATCTTCAGTTAACCCGTCCTTTCTTTGGTCCAAATATTCTACATATTTTATTTTCAAAAACCTTTAAGGGTTACTTAACACTTAATGTAAGTGGTCATGTTCTGCATCCATAAATAGCCGAAGGAAGTATAACAGTTTTCTAAACTATAAATTTTTAAGTTTAGAGTTCGAAGGCACGAGCTAAGTCATTTTGTAACAGTTAAATTTATAGCTACAGTAATAAGTTTATACTGAATGATTTTCAAAACAATTTGATCAAAATGAATAAAAAGGATCAAAAGAAATAAAACCAATCGAAACAAATATAAATAAAAAAAAAAGATCAAACAGAAATTTAAATTATCAAATTTAAAGACATGAGATTTATTTTAAAAAGAGAAAAACTTTTAATTTAAAATGATTTGAAGAAATTATAGGAAGATTTAAAAACAAAGCACTTAAGCTCTAAAATACCAGCATTAGTTAAAAGCGTATCACCCTCTGGTAGAAATAATAGGAAAACTAAAAAAAGGTAATTTTTAGTTCTCATTTTTCATGCCAGAAAGTGATATCTTAAATTATTATACAGTAAACACATCACGGATTATATTTTCCTCATTAAGAATAACTGTTTATGTTTGTGCATACAATTCTTGAAAGACATGAAATTAATGTATAAAATATTTAACAGAAAGTTAAAATAAAGTATGATAATTAATAAATTTTGTTATGTGGTTATTATGTGAAATGGTTAAAATAATTCACTAAAGCATTGCGGTTAATTACAAAGAGTTTCAGAAATTATTACAATACATTATACTTATTAAAGTCTTACTTCAGGAAAACTGTACCAGCGTTTGCGATGACCCTGAGAATACAAAAGAAAAGATAAGGGAAAATAATAATGTAAACTAAACAAGAATAAAAATAATAAAAGGGATTAAATAATGATAAATAAATGCTAATTATAGTAGGTTTTTTGTGCATAAACAATACAAATGAGAAATAAATAAAAAAAAAAATTAAAAATACAATATACTTTCAAATAAACAGAAAATAGCTGGTTTATAAAAACGTATTGGCCATTCTAAACTATGTAAAGTTTCAATTCGTCAGCTATTGTTTAAATTACCTACGACTACTGTTAGTTTTTCTATTTACAATGGTCTGTCACAATCATCATGGTAGATTAAAAGCTTCGCCTATATTAAGCCATAAGAAAACAGAATCAAGAAAGCTAAATAAATATAATAAAAAAACAGTTCTCCTGTCCTATGTCATATCAAGTGACATAACAGACTTAACGATAGTTTAAAAATCCACTTATTATAGTAATAATCTTATCAATAGTGCAAAGATAGTTTAAGAATAAAAAATGAATAAACAATATTTCTGGTCATCTGAATAACATGAACAATATGAACACAAAAGTTAATTCAGATACAGAATTCCAAAACCCAACTTACAAATCCATTTTAAATTTTATTTCTTTTTTTAAATAGATATTTTGGATACTATATTATTATGATGTAAAACAGTTTATATTTTGAAAACATTTATTTTAACTTGTGATTATATTGTTTTGAAAACTAATTCTTATACTTCAAAATATTCTAATACCAAAACTCTTAATTAAAAAAAAGTTGAAAATAAATTTGGTTGGTTTTGGATTTCTTAATTTTGATGCATACAAAATTAAAATATTGATTTAAAAAGTTTTATGTTTTACTTACACATTTGAAAGACAGAAGTGATACTTTATAACCTCATATGTCAATTCAAGTGGGTAGGAAATTTTCAAGAAATTAAATTATTTATTTTTTTTAAATTTGAAAAAAAAAATAATAGTAATTTGTAAATAAAATAAATTTAAACCTTTTAAAAACAAAATTAATAATCAGCAACTCAATTAAATTTCAGAATCAAGGGTCATAAAAATAAGAAATAAATTGTATTATAATTGATTTTTTAAAAAATTAGGTATTAATAAAAATTAATATAAAAAATAAATACTTTAAGTATCATTGCTGTTTGTTTTTTCTCAAATTTTAATGGAATTATTTTGAGCTGATAATTTGTTAAAATGTTAAATTATATTTAACCCGCTCTGTTAAATCAGAGATTTGCTTCAAAATAGTAACAACCTAAAAATTGCTTTTATAAAATTAACTGTTTATTTGTTTAATTCGACAAATCAGGGAAACAACTGAGTTTTCTAAAATGGCCAGATCTTAAAAGTGTAACTATCTATTCTACTTCAGTTAATCAACTTTTATAATACTCGATGTTAATTCAAGCCATGAACCTAATTCCTTCAAACCTTTGGCAAATATAAAAACATAATTTTTATTATAACTCTCCCCAAGATTATTATTTTTGTTATGAGACGAAACCATCATTAAATTAAAAAATCAAAAGGCAGCCAGATTTAATAACACTATTCTATTAACAAGAAAAGGGCTATTCTATTAACAAGAAAGTCCTCACGCGGCTGAGGATCGGACATAATAGACTGACACACCTCCACCTCTTAAGAAAAGATCTTATCCCCAGATGTCAAAAGTGTGACCAGCCATTAACCATAAATAAAACATGTTTTCGAAGAGTGCCCTTTTTACACCGCAAGGTTAAAAGATTTTGGAATACTCCGGGGAATATCTCGGGGAATCAAGAAGAAATTGTTACCGAAGTTATCAAGTTTCTGGATAGTCAAAGACTTAAAAAAGATATATGAGAAGCTTATAACTAATGATCCTTTGTAGATTTATTATTATTATTTTATTTTATTTACTTTTTCTTTATTTTTTATTACTTTATTTTATTTTTTATTTTTATTTTTAAAGTTCATTTGTTTATTAATTTCAATTCATTTATTGATTTTACTGCTTTTTTTTTTATGTTTTTTAAAAATCTTATTATTTATAAGTGTCTATTATTATCTTTATTTATTTACTTTATTATATCAATCCTTTATTTATTTATTTTTATTTTCTGTACCAACCATCCAAACAGTATAAAAATAATATTATTTAGTTGGTTGACAGCTGATGATCTGAATGTTTAGCGCCTAGACATCGAAACAAGCGAAGTGAACAAGAAAAAGGTAAATAATAATTTTAAGACACTAAAACACAAAGACAATACGATTTGTATTAATTGCCAAATAATTTTTTAAATGTTTTTTTTCTAATATGATTGTTTTGTTTTTTATGGCCGCGGGGCGATCCTGGGTCGGGATACCCTCCTGGGACACACCCAGCCTCTATAAAGTGGGTACCCTTAATTAAATAATTGATTAAGGGAGAAAACCTGGCGGTTGAGCGTGGTCTCGGTCAAATCACCTCCTTGCACAGACCTAGAAACAGTGCTCTCCCTAAATAGTATTGAACCCCAGACCCTTCATGGGTTGTAGTGTTACAGGTTTTTCTAATAATAGTTCAAATGTAAATACAGTCAACTTTCAATGACTTCTTCGATAACTAAATTTATTTTGAGCCTCTTCATTTCCCTATTGCGTTTTACATAATTTTTACCTCAATAACTTGATATTTCAAAATAAAAAAATAAGAGGCATTTTCTATATTTTATGTAGTCGTAGAAAACCTCCATAAGTCGAAGTTTAGATTCCACCACATCTGTGAGTCAAGTTCATAGAAACAGCATGTTCATTTTTTTTGCTCTTCTTTTGAGTTATTAGATATAACTAGATTCCAATGTTATTGAGAGTTCCCAGTGCAAGTTCAAAACAGTATTAATATTTACATTATCAATATTTTATGCAAAGTTGGGGAAACAAGGCCATGTTGATATTCTGTCTTAATCTTTCTAATATCTACTAAACAAAACGTTAAAGGAATACAGCCATAGGAAATATTTTTCTTGTTTTGAGACTCTCAATCCATATTTTCAGATAGGACAAACTCTAAAACACATTCTATAGAGATTCGCCTATACATGTGATTATGAAAATTCTAAGAAGTAAACAGATTTTAAGATGTAGAATAATCATGAAATATCTGTAGTACTGTCTATTTTGTATTTATTTGTGTTAACATAAAGACTATTATTAGATGAAATAAATAAAAATGATATTTTGGTTAAATTCTAATATTTATAAAATTACCTTTTCCATTTTACTTAGATGAAGTGCATATCTGTCATGTGCTCTGAACTGCATAAACCTCATATTAGAACTTTGAGACAACTCAGTTATGCTCTTTATACTTGGAAAAAACCTATAATTTTTTTTTTTAAATTAATAATCTATACATTTAATATAAATATGTTTGATACTAGATTTTAAAAATATTAAGACATTGGAAATGATTACTGATCTCATACTCTATTATATTATAATAATAGGAAACAGTTATATAAATATTACATAGTATACAAGCATAAGAATAAAAAAAAAAAAAAACTTACTTAAACATAGTCTGTACTGCGACAATGGTGTTACAGTCAGCTAGTGTGTCTTCTTCAGCTGAGTTTGACAATTCTTTGTTGACAACTACAACATTTTCAGCTAACGTAATCCCAGCCCGCAACAAATCGTCCAAACTGAAAGCATAAACTCAGTATCATTTCATGTTCTGCTTTATTTATTTATTTTAACATAAATACTTCTTATATTAAAGTATATACTTCTAATATTAGGAAATACATTTTTTTTAAAGAAGGCTGTTAAGTAATAATGGGCTACTATTTGCCAATCTTTAATTTTCTTTGTTAACCATTTGTTATTTAGTGTGTAGAATAATTTTTAAATAAATAATAAATAATAATAAAAGGCTTCGCGAACCAGGACACCAGCAATCACCACCAATCACTGCCTACACACCTCCCTCCACCACCCACTGTCTAAACCCAGTCCCTTCAGATTGGTCTTAATGTAATTTTCCCACCTTCGCTTCGGTCAACCCATTGGACGTTTACTGGTCGGTACAGCAAATACTAACCTTGTAGGAATTCTTTTGTTATTAAATCCAAAAATTTTACAAGCCCATTTTATTCACCGCGATGTAATCATCTCAATTATATTAAATGGATACAATTCACACCATTCGATGGTGTTAACTTAACTTATCCTTCTTCGGTCAAAATACTTTATTTTCAAAAACCTTACGATGTTGCTCATACCTTGATGTAAGCGACCACGCTTCACATCCATAAAGAACCGTAGGTAGGATAATGGGTTTATGGATTCTAATTATTAAGTTGCGGAAATTAGTCATAGAAAAATAACAAACATTTCCCGCCTTCAGCCTATCCTTATTCACCTCTTCACTTCGTTTTTTCGTGATATCGTAGACTTTAGATACCTAAACTTCTATACGTTTTCAACCATATTATCTTGTATATCGATATCAACATTTTTGCAGCTAACCATTTTGTCTTATCCGTGTTGATTTTGAGCCCTAGTTTTTTACCGGTTTTCATTAGTGTTGTCATATGTAGTAATATAGTTTCCCTGTCCAAGCAATTTCCATAGCCAAGCATGGGTGTTATCCCATCCAGATTCAACCCTTTTACAGTATGCATTACCTCCCTAATGACATGTTTTAATGCCAAATTAGAGACATTTTTATGCATTTAACATAACAGGTTAATTTTTTCCCAAGTTTTAATCCTATGTTCATAAGGAAAAATAATATATTACTTATGAGTATGGTCGGATATTTTTTTGCCTACATGTTAATAATAGGGCTAACATTATTATTACAGATAACATTATTTTCAATTCATGGAATGGAACATTAATAATTTAACTGAAAATAAATAATTAGTAAATAAATAATAATTTTAGAAAAACATCATGGATTCCTCCACTTCGTTATCCCAGGTCTTCTTCTTTCCCTAGTTTTCCAGAAGTGGACTTCTTTGGGTAGTCTTCCTTCAGGCATTCTTTTAAAATGTCCATACCACGTCAGGTGGTTTACCTCAATCTCTTCCAGAATGGTTCTTTTAGCCTCCATCGTTTCTCTGATGGTTGTATTTAACACTTTATCTATTCTGGATATTTCTGCCGCTCGTCTCCAGTAGTCTATTTCGGTGGCTAGAAGTTTTTTTCCTGAGGTTGCTTTTGAGTTAAGAATTAATATAAATCAAACCTAAATTAAAATATAATTAAATCTGCATCACAAAAAACACATATTTTTTATCAAGGAACCGTTAATTGTCTACTATAATTTATTATAGAAAATATTAAATTATAATTCAAATAACAAATTTAAAATTAATACAATAAACTGTCCAATTTAATAGTTTACCAATCTATAGATCCTAACATCCAGTAAATTAAAGGAAAGTATGATACTGAATCTAAAAACGCAATATCTGGACGCCTTTCCAATAGCAGAATAATAGGATTGAGAGAATTTTTGGACCTGAAAAATAAAAAAATCTGTGAGAAATGTATTATACACAATTTATAGAAGAAAATATTTGATGGTGATACTTATCTATCAAATGATAAGAGATAAAAATAATGTTACCTAAAATGAGCACGCAGAGGGATGATAAAGTTGTAAATACCATTTGAAGCATAATCTGCTGCCAAAATTATAGTCTTGTTTTGCCAATTATATTCCTTAGCATTTCGGTGGGTGCAATGTTCACAAACCTGTCCAACAATAAATAATAATTCTTAAACTGAGTCTTGCTTTAACGGGTGTAGGTAAATTAAAAAAAAAAGATGTCTTTCTTGATAGATTATTTTTCTCCGCTTATTTAGGCCATCATCAGGTTGATTTTAATACAATGATTGCTATCGTTCTTCTCTCTTGTTTATAGATTAAGGACATCCAACAATACAGTCCTAATCAACGAGCAACAGAAAAAGAACATTACTGTATTAAACTCAGCTTGATAAAGTTCTAATGACCAGAACCAATAGCGGAAGAAAATAAACTATAATTCAGTTTTTTAAAAAAAGTTTAAATCAAAGTTAGAACCATTTATATTTCCTAGTCACATCCTTCAGGTTTGGTGACATTTTCTCATAAGTTTTTTATATATATTTTAGGCCAAAGGTCCACCAAATATACACAGTTGTTTATATCCTGTATTCTTTATTCGACGTTTCGGCTTCAGGAGCTATTTACAAGATCCATGAGCCATAAATTTTTTTAAAATCTATCATTGCAATAAGATTCGTCCTTTAGTCATTCTTTTATTTCAAAGAATGCCGTTTATTCACTTCTCTTTCGCAGACGATATCAAGAAAATTGTTGTTCCTTACTAGGGCATTCATACAGGACTGGCCAGTGAATAGCAACTATTTTCTTGATATCGTTTGCGAAAGAGAAGTGAAAAAATGATATTCTATGAAATAAAAGAATGACTAAAGGACGAATCATATTGCAATGATAGATTTTAAAAAAATTATGGCGCGGTGCATGTATCTTGAAAATGGCTCCTGAAGCCGAAACGTCGAACAAAGAATACAGGATATAAAAAACTGTGTATATTTGGTGACCATTTATATTGTCACATTTAAACAAAATTTGAAATATGGAAAAGATTGATTAAATGATGATAGTAACATGGAAAAATTATTAATTGCTCTATTTTGATATACACAAAATTTGCTGGAACTTATTCTCCAGCAAATTCAGATCAAATGTCTTTGATAAACCGTCAAAGGTTTCATGAAAAAATTAGTAAGAAATTTTGACGCATAGAAAGTTTTCATTTTCCATCCTTGTCAAATTAAAATCGGAATGAGATAGTTAGCTTTATAAGGCACTTACTCCTATCTATCTCAAGATCGCAGGTTTGGGTCCGACCATGTCATATATTTATTCTGTAATATGAGATGGATTTAGAAGAACCTCTTGGGGCAGAACCAGGCTCTATAAAGTGGAAACTCTTAATTAAATAATTAATTAAGTGGAAAAATCTAGCGGTTGAGCATGATCTTGATCAAATCACTTCCTAGCACAATCATTGACCAAGAAATAGTCCTTACAAACTACTGAATCATAGACCCTTCATGGGTTATAGTGGTCAAGATTTTTTTTTTTTTGTTTACATACTAAAAACAATTTAAATTGTTTTTAGGATTAAAGAACTATCAATGGAAATTTTTTATGGAATTTAATCTATTACATTTCAATAGCGCTTCTCTGATCTTATCCAGTTTTAATGCGATGAATAATTTTGTATATCATAAAACCCTTAAATGTTTCAGTCACCATGACTTTTGTAAATATTGATATCATGAGGGGCATGGTCACAATAAAAAAGACCAAGTTAAACTGAATTTAAAACAAAAATTTCATCCACTTTATGTTTGGAAAGAGACTAAGAAGATCTAACTCCAATGGGTCACAACTATTGCATATTTTCAAACAAGATCTTCAATGAATTCCCATTGTTTTGTGAAACAGATACTTTTATTTTTTAAATTTAATTGTTATCCTTCCTTAAGAAAATAAACATCTTTTTGTGACCCTAGACTATTTTTCAGAAAAGTTAAAACTAACTACTCACAAAGCTACCCTGCTCTGTGGTAAAAAATAAAGTTGATTAAAAGACAAAGGAACACAACTCTCCACAAAAAGTTATAGTAAGTATATAAATATATATACATACATGTACATTATTTATTATTAAATACTTTTTTTACAATTTAGTTGTTTATCGTATTCAACAGATTTTGTCACTTTTTTTCGGTCTAGCCAGTCTCTCTCTCTCTGGTAGCCATGCCTTCCTCCACCTCCTGCAACCATTTCTTCTTGGGTCGTCCTCTTTTCTGCCTTTCTATTGATTGATAGAGAAAGGTTAGTTATGGGCATCGGTCCTCCGTCATTTTCCGTAAATGGCTAAACCATTTCAGTCTTTTTGTTTCCTGCTGAACAGTTCGCCTAATCTTTTTGTTGGTAACATGCTGCAGTCTGGAAATGACACAACATTGTCTTCATAAGTCCATCTCCAATGATAGTAGCCTTGTCTCCTCCTTTTTGGTGATTACACACGTTTCACATGCATATAGTGACACTTTCCAAAAGGAATGATACAGCCTTTTTTTTTTATAGACTTACCTGCTTGTTACAAAACACAGAATTTAGTGTACCAATTATCCACCTTCCTCTTGTGATTTTTTCCATGATGTATTTGGAGGAGCTTCCATTCTCAGTTATCTATCAACCAAGATATTTGAATTCATAGATTTTTCCTTATTTCCAATTTTCTAGTGATAAGGCTCTTATTTTTCCATTAAATGCCATGTACTTAATTTTTTCTTTAATCAGACTTCATGCTCTATATTCTTCCAAGAGTTTCCTTAGCAAGTAGCATCTTCATCGTCATTCACTATTACTATCTGGTTGTCGGCAAATTGTAGGATATAAAGGCATTTTTTGTCTATCTGTATTCCCATCCCCATTCATTTCTTCTTCCATACTTTTATAGCCTCTTCAATGTATAGGTTGAACAGCAGTGGAGATAGAGAACAACCTTTTTTGAGGCCTTTAGTGATATAATATACATACATACACGTACATCAAATTTAAAATATGAACTTGTAAATAATCTGTTTGGCGGCAATTTTAAATAGACTTCTGTTTTGTTGGGGGTCTAGGTCATTTACACTCGTGAATTTAATTTTCTTAAAAAAATAAACCCGGCACTAGATATAAACTTTTTGAGGGTGTTTACTGTTGTTGGGAATTTGGGAACCTAATGCTTTTGTGACACTGAGTGAAAAGAAATAATAAGAATATATAATTATGAAATGTGGGACTGAGTAAATAAACTTTGAATGAATTGACTCACCTCTGGTTAGGTATTCTTCAATTGTGAGGCATATAGAATAAATAAATAAAAGAACTATTCACTCCTGTATAAAAAAATAATTAATTTCCACAACTGTAATAAATTTAATCTATTAAAGTCTTATAATTGTAGGCTTCATCTTCTTAATCTTGAGTGGAATGGGCTTCTCTTCTGTCGTTACATAGTTCTGCCTTCATGTCCATGCCTCAAGTGATCTTTGTTCCACCAGCATCCATCTCACGCTGCTGCCACCTGCTGGCACTTTTCCAGACTTCTTCCTTTATTTGTTCTGTATCTTTTTCATCTTTTAATAAACAATTTGTCCACTGCACAATTGAGTACAATTCATAGTGCCACCTTACATTTTCTCACTCAATGTCACATTAAGGAGTAAATATTAGAGGATATCTACAACAAACTTCATAAAAAAGAGTTTAAAATTACATTACCTGAGCAAGCTGAAGGCAACATAGAGGCTTCTTCTCTTTGAGAAGATAACAGAGCGTCGGGCTTACCCCGATGTATGGAGAGACCGGTGGGAATCCTTTCACTATCCTAAGCAAACAGAAAACAAATTTTGTTAACTGCGGATAAAAAAATCGAACAGCTTCGGTTCCTAGATTAGTCTAAGTAAAGCTTCAACATATTTTACAATTACTAAAAAACATAAAAAAAGAATTGTTTAATAATTACTAATACAAATTATATTCTAAATAAATTTTAAAAAGTTTTGTTGATTTATTTAAAAGAAATATCAGTAGTTTATCAAGCTCAATAGGAAATATATTAACAAAGAGTAAGTTATTACTGATAAATTGTAAATTAATTATTTAAAAAAACTATTACTTTTGTTACTTTCCATTTTTAGACTACTCATTCAATAGTAAGATAACACTTTTATCTATTACCATTCAAGTATGTTCTTTGACTGTTGAATCTAAATGTTCGTAAACTAGAAGCGATGTTTACAAGTGATCTTGCCGTATTAGAGGACTCCCTCATTGAAGTATTACAAAAGCTATGTTTTAAGTTTCTAACTCACAAAAAAAGTAAGTGAAAAGTATTTCACGATCACAGTGTCTTTCAAGGAGGAATAATAAAATTCAAATAAAGCTGCCACTGCGCTAAAGTCACAGAATTGTTATTTTTGAAGAAACTTTCAACAGGATAAGGGATAGAAACAAGAATAAGCCTAACTCCTAAGATCAGCACCAGCTATTCACATTAAACATTTGTCAGATTTGACTTCTATATCCAGTATTTAATCTTTGTAAATTTTTAAAGTGCTATATGATCTTGACCCACTTCAAAATTATTTAATAAATATGATAATAATGAGATAATTAAGATTGTAGAGGTAGTTAAAAAATATAATTCAAAAAGAAGAACTTAATACTTTTATAAAGGCAATGCAACCGCAGCTAAATAACCCTTAGTCAATGTTATTAATATCAGGAGTTTATTTATAAGTGAAAAGTCATAACGGGATACAAAATATCTATAGATTTAAATAATATAGGTAAAATTAATTTAAATAAATATACAAAGTTGTAGATTTGCTTTCAAAGCTTATTTGGCCCCTGATTAATAACAGGAATTAACTGATGCGAGAAATATTAGTTTAAGTTCAAGATAAAGAAAATAATTTATTGGAAAATATAAAAAAAAAATATATTTATACATACTATATATTAAAAGAAACAAAAAATGCAAATTTCCAATAAAATTTAAATATCTACATGAAAGTACAAAGAGCAAGCAAAATTTTTCATGCAAAAACAGTAAAAATCAAGCAACTTATGCACAAATTGACACGGAAAAAGGTTCCGTGCAATGAATAAATGGATTGAAAACATAGCAATGAAAAACCCATATTTGTACGATGCATTATCAGTCATATATTGAGGTTTTCTTGTTCAAAGATCATGTCTTCGAAAATAAAATATATTAAAAGAGCATTCAATATTCATAATTTAAAATTTTATTTAGTAATTAAAAAAAAATAAAAGGTTAATGTTTGATTTTGAAATGAATTATTTGGAAAAGCACTAATTTTGTACATAAAACAGTTAAATTTCAAACTAAGTTAGAAAGGTAATTAAAAATGAATTAAAGAATAACACCTTATAAATTATTAACTGAAATATATTCATTTGAAAGCAATATTTTATATTTTTCATTGATTCATGATATCTTGTTAGGACATTTATAAAACAAACCTTTGGATAATGAATACTTTTTAACTTTGTTAATTTAGATTTATTAATGAATTGCAAAAAACTAGCTCAACTTTAAACAACTACAGTAGAAGTCAGAATAAGAAGTGGGTGACCTTGAGGAAGATTTCTACCTTTTAGTTAAGCCCTAATTGGTCATAAGAACTGGCCTCTTCTATGAGATTCTTCTACATCTCTGTCTTTTGCCGCCCAATCACTGATGAGCATTGTTCGAATGTCCTTTGCCACACTCTAAGACCAATGAAGCTTTGGAGTTCCGTTCCGTTCTTACCTGAAGAGCAACAGCTACTTTGACAGTAGCTTTATTGGCCTCTCATTTGGGGCACATGACCGGCCTCACGTAGCCTATCTGTCCGGAGAACTTGTGCAAAATCAGGCACTCGATAGATATCAAAGAACTTGTCTTTATTCTTCTCCTCCATTATCTTCCCTCCTAGTATTCTACACAGAACTTATCTTTCAAATATCAGAGGTTGCATTCTTCATTGTTTTTCAAAGGAGTCCAGATTTCAGAACCAACTGGAGAAAATACTTTTCCCTTTTATTTAATACAATGGAGAGAAGGGATTGACTACTGTTTAACATTGACTATTGTAGTAGACATCCCTCGGTATTTACTCCTTTATGTGACGTGTGAGGGAATGAGAAGGAATGTGAGGTTGCACTGTGAATTGTACTCAATTATGCAGTGGACAAATTATTCATGGAAAAGTCTCATATCGATGAACAATCGATGAAGAAGGACGCTGGAAAAAGGAGAGCAGATAGCTAGCAACAGCTGGAGAGGCCTTAAGGCTAGGACACGGAGGCGAGATGACGCTAGGCCTGGACAGGAAGAGAGGAGGTTGTCAGAAGAGAGAGATACTACATTGAAGACTAAGAAATCAAGCCTACAGTTATAAGACTTTTATACATTCATTTATTACAGTTGTAAAATAAATTGTTTTATTATACAGGAGTGGAAAAGTCATTTATTTATTTAGTTGTCCTATATGCCTCACGATTGAAGAATAACAAAACAGGTGAGTAAATTCATTTAAAGTGTATTTACTATGTCAAGTTGTTTGACAGTCATTAGTATAGAGTTAAAATAGATGTCCTCTCATTGGTCTGGCGAGGTGTTCACTTCCATGTGTAAGAAGTCCAAAGCAAATCTAGTTACCCAAAACAATTAATAATAATAAAAGGCTTAGCGAACCCAAAGGTTCTATGCCGACACCACCAATCGCTTATTACACACCTCTCTCCACCGTTTGCCGTCCAAACTCAGTCCCTTCAGATCGGCTTTGATGCAATCTTCCTACCTCCCCTTTGGTATAACCCTCGGATGTTACCATTTGGTACAACAAATATTAACCTTTTAGGAATTCTTTCGTTACCAAGCTTAACAATTTCACAAGCACATTGGATTTGTTGTGATGTAATCACCTCAATTATATTAACCGGATACAGTTCACACATTAGTAGGATAATGATTTTATGGATTCTAATTTTTAAGTTCCGGAAATTAGTCACAGAAAAATAACAAGCATTTCCCGCCTTCAGCCTAACCTTAATCTCCTCTTCAATTTATTTTTTTCTAGTTATCATAGACCCTAAATACCTAAACTTCTCTAGGTATTCAAACATATTACCTTCTATATCGACATTACCAGCAATATCGCCATTTTACAGCAAACCATATATTTTGTCTTATCCCTGTTTATTTCAAACCGTAGTTCTTTACCAGCTTTCATTAATGTTGTCGTATTTAGTTTTATGGTTTCTGTGTCCTCCCATAACAGTACCAGATCATCCGCATAGCCAAGCATGGGTGTTGTACCACCCCGCTCCAACCTTATTTCGATACGCATTACCTCCCTAATGGCATGTTCTAATGCAAAATTGAATAGAACAAGGGGAAAAGAATCACCTTTTAAACCCGAACGACTTTTCTTAACTACTTTATGGAATGTTTCCGTCAAGCACATCCTGACTAGATTTACTATTCTTTTTGGAATCCCCTGCTCGATTATAATATTATACAGTTTCTGGCGGTCAATAGAATCGTAAGTCTTTATGAAATTGATACACAACTGGTGAACAACACCATTGTACTCTAATTTTTTCTCCAATATTTGCCGCAAAGAAAATATTTGATCAATAGTCGATCAGTTCTGTCTAAATCTGCATTAGTAGTCACCGATAATTTCCTTGGCCTATTCCGTGATTCGGCTAGTTAAAACCAAAACAATTATATTATTGATATCCTCTTTGATTTTATTGTCCTATGTTACAATCGAAACAAGGGAACTTTGAAATTTTTTCAAACTTAAATGAAACAAGCATCACGGTTTCTCTTTCTCTGAGTAATCCCTCAGACACCCAATTCATATTCTGACTTCTGCTAAATAGAATAAAAGATAATTTGCTTGCAAATGCTGAAATTAACAAAAAATAGTTACGATTATTGTTAATATGTTAAACGATATTAATGAATAGGAGTAGACTGCTAGCCATTCATTGCAATCGATTTGAGCAGTGTTAATGTTTTCTGTTTAAAAGGAAGGGGAGGAAAGTATTTTAATAAATATTTCTTTTTGATTAATTCTCTCCGAAGTGTTTTCTTACCTTTTTATTTCAGCTCTCCATCCTGAAGGCGGAAGGAAATCGTCTTGATCTGCGTCTGAGACTGAAACATGGAACCTGGGGAAGGTGCAAACATCAGTTGCATGCAAAACAACACAACAACACATAGAACAGCAAAACTCAACGTACATTTTTACACACTGGTCATCGTTGCCAACAGGTAGGGGCAGACATATTTAACTTTTTTCAAACTGAATTTTAAAATAATAATACAAAATTAATATGATGACATTATTGTTATTTATTACTCCATGATCTAGCTTGAATAAAGTTGACTAATTAATTCCTAAATGTTTGAGGAAACTTCATAATACCAGCTATTACAAAAATAGTTTATGGTTAAAATAGATACGGCAGTCTTTTTTTTACTTCATTTTTCCACAATTTTAACTCATCAGCTGTTGACTTCGGTAAATTGAAAAAATGCTGTACTCCGATAGCTCGAAATCCTTTTCGTAACAAGAGGGGGAGAGAACATTCTATAATTTAAACTAGACCACTTCCCTCCCGTCTTCATAAGTCAAAATTTTCCTAGTAATATTTTTTTATATGAGGCTATGTATATCTAAAATTTATGTAATCTCATTCATATTTTCAAAAATATAATAATAACTCTTAATATTTCGAATATTTTTTCTTTCCTTTCGATAATTCAAATTTCTTGATAGCTCAAATCTCGATAATTTAAAGTTTTCTTGTAGTCCCATGGATTTCAAATTATCGAGATTCGACTGTATATATTAAGGAAAACTATTATGATAGTGAAAAGTTTCGAATCCGAGTACACGTTTTAATGTCCTCTGATCCTCAAGACCCACATAATAGGCTATAAGTACATGTGAACAAATTTGCTCTAAAACGAAAAGTGGTACAAAATTGAAATTTTGTATATAAAGTAAGCATATGAATGGGATGTTACTGCAGATTTTTTGTCAAAATCGACTAATTGGAAGTGGCACTTCATAACATCAATTTAACACATTTTTATGTTGTTTTCAAAGACGGCTCTAACAATTTTGATTAAACTCATTTGTGTCAATGTACAATTAATTGCTTTTTAATATAAGGTAGGTCTTATCCTCATTCATGTTCTCTAACAGGGCTTAAATTATAATGTCTGCCATTTTAGTTACTGGGATTGCCATCATAAAAATTACTTCACATCTTGGTCTTACGAGTTAAATAAAGTACATTAAGGCGTAACCATAATGAACTCAAGTCACAAGTCAAACAGATATATAATTACAGTCATGACAGGTTGAAATTTATTTAATGTCTGATCCACGGAGTAAATCACTTTTTTTTTCCTGTCATATCACTAAAGTCACCATTTTTACATCTAATCATAGATCTTTTTGTTTTATCGGTAATTATTTTGAGAATTAGTCTTTTATTGGTTCCAATCAACCTAGTATTGAGTTTTATAACTTTTACATCTCCTCCTGAACTATTATCTGTTCTATTTTCTATATTTTTTTATTTTATTTATTTATAATTTTTTTTTTTAGGAAAACATCTATGTCTTTGAAAATAGATTTTGCCTATAACTTTTGTCTCCCCAAAAAAGATTAATTCAATAAAATTAATGATGGTAGGCCTCATAGGTGTAGACTTCGGGAAGGCGATCACCCCCCAATAAAAATGTTGAGGGGCAAGAATATTGTTTCGCTCCCCTCTACCCCCAATAATTTTAAGTAAAAAATAAAATTAAAATTGAGAACAAATAAGCTACATGAATGAATAATATATTTAAACTAAAATTGATTTAGAAAATAAGAAAAGTCGACTATCTGGGTAAGCTAAGGCCTATAAATAGGTATGTAACTATTTTATCATGACCTAAATATTCCTATTATTTTAATTTTCATTCATATTCAGGAATAATAATATATAAAAATATTCTTGGATTTTATGATTCATTCACTTTTCATGTGGACACCAACATTTTCATATGATTTTCTTAAACATTTACTGCAATAAAGTAGGCAAAAATATATTTAATAAGTAAAAGTATAAATATATTTTAAAGGGAATGTTTTTATAGACTTTTTACATAGCTTAAACTGTGAAAACGTTTTATTTTTATGTGGAGATTGTACAAACTACGAAGTTAAAGGTATTTTTCAGATTTTAACATTATTCATTTTACATTTAATATGATGGAGGCTATACCCCTTCCTCTCATTTGTAATTTATACAAATTAAATTTATATATCCAATTGTTTTTCAGTTTTTCAAGCATATCCAAAAGCACATAAATAAAAAATCCTACAATTTTCATATAAATAAATTTATTTTTGAATATCCAATGTTATATTTGTTATTTCACAATAATTATGTTGAATTTGTATACATAATATGAGCTACTGCCATTTTTTTTTGTTTTTGTTCATCGCCCTCCCTCGCGAATCAAAATGGAAAGTCTACACCAATGGTATGACATAGAAGGAGAGAGTACAATTGAACCTTTGGGTTCACAAAGCCTTTATAATTATTGTCTGATTTTTCTTGTTTTTGCAGATGCAATTATCATTTTATCAATAAATAACATGTGTGAACTCTTCAAAAATATTTCAAATAATTAAGCCTTAGCATGCAAATAGTGAGCAAGAATATCTTTTAAATAAATTGATAACAGAATAATAGACACACCAGGCAAGAGCACCATGCATCTGAACCAGAATAGACCAGTGTATAAATATGTACAATAATAAAATAAAGTAAATAGAAAAGCGAATCAAAAGATGAAACATATTCTACTTCGTCAAGTAAGGCCAAACTGTTTGAAGAAGAGATATATCTTATCTTTTGGAGAATCAGATGATGCAGAAAATGCAAAACGTTTATGCATTTCAATTATTTGCTCAAACAGTTCCATATTCTCAAGAATCTTTAGCGACTACAATATTTGACAGTAATTAAGATAAAAGATGTCTAACAGTTTAAATTAAATAAATACATCATATTATATTGTATGATGTATCATATACATTTAATAATGAAAATAAAATTCAAATATATAGAGTAAATGTTTATTCATAATTATTAATAATTAAGATTTCTAAGAACAAATGTTAAATAACATACTATAGTTAATGTTTACAATAAAACTATTCTAATATAGGGCCACTTAATTAAACTATGAACTGTTGGGGAAAAAAGAAATATTAAAGATAAGAAGATAAAAAGTAAAAGTATTGCATCATCACATTTCAAGCAAACAATTACATAAAAAGGGTCCATTGAAAAAAAGTTGCATTTCACAGTAGAAAGACATTTGTGCTGGAAAAAGTGCGGTGCTTTCAAAAGTTTTACAGACTCCGAAATCAAAAAGAGCATGCACAAAATATTAAATAAAATATATTTCATCTAGTATTTCCTGTTAAGTAAATGTTGACACAACGGCTTGATTTTAAATAATCAATATATATCAAATATTACTAACTGCAGCGTAAGTAAATAGTTAGTAAAAGTTACAATGTGAGTTCTGTACATGTATTACAGCATTAACAGTTACCGCATTATCATAAGTATGATACGTAACCTGTGAATGTTAGATTATAAAATAAGTAACGGTCATTGTTAAGATAAAATTAGATAGTAGAACAATTTCATGAATATTATCGACAATGAACAGCTGTGAATATGTTTATTTCAGTTACAAATAATATAATAAACTAGAATAAGGGTCACATAAATGGTTCCTCTCCTTCTTATCGGATTGATTTCAGACAGTTGTAATTACAAACAAACCTCTATCATCTCTTCTTCAACTAATACGAGGTGTTCTTCAGGGTTCCTCACTCTCCCTGACCCTTTTCTCTATTTATAATAGTGACCTTCCTGAAGCCATTCAACACTCCTGTTACTACCTATATGCCTATGATTTCCAAATTTAGCAATCATTTCAACCTTCTGGGATGGCTGAGGCTGCACGAAAGCTACAAGAGAACATCGACTGCATCAACACATGGGCAGAAATAAATGAATTAAAGCTGAATGCAAATAAAACTAAGACTATTCTCATCGGGTCCAGACATTTCATTAGTTCTCTTCCTTACTTTTCTCAATAACTGTCCCATCCAGTGTTTTCCTTATCAAAAATCAAGGGGAAACCTTTGACCAGAACCTCTCCTGGAATAACCATATATCTCAGATTACCTGACAACCCATAACTGTCCTTAAACAACTCCTAAGATTCCATTATTGTATTCTTCTAAAAACCAGACAGCTACTTGTAACTTCCCTTATATTCTTCCACTACAACAACTGTTTGGTGTATGGAGGGCTATCTGCCAGGCAAGAAATGAGACTGAAGAAATTCATGAACTGTTTCATAGGATACATCTTTAGGATTTTCAGGCATTCACGTGTTTCATTCTGGTGCACCGAGTTGAAGTGGCTTTATCCTACTTCCCGACTACAATTCTCCCTTGGTGTTTTTCTTTTCCAAGTCCTCACAACAATTAACCCTCCCAACATCCTGGAACTCCTTACTCTACATTCCTCTATCCATTCTCTTAATACCAGGTCTCAACTTATAGATTTATATAGCCCCTCCCATAAAACTTCCTTCAGCAAATCCTTCGTCATTTGTGCTACCTCTTTTTGGAACTCTCTCTCTCTCTACCTCCATGGGTCAATCTTCGTCCACAAATTTCTTCAAACAACTCCTGTTCCAACACCTACTCCACATATAAAATTACATAACATATAAAATTACTTGCATCTGTATACTGTTTAATTTCAATCTACTGCACAATTGCAATAACAATCAGCAGTTAATTAGTTTGTATTTTTTATTATTCTAAGCCAGACTAAGACCAATAAATTTGTAACTGTGTTATTATTCTTAGGGAACTGTAGTCCTAGAATAGAATTATTTTTTCATTTCATTTCACATTAAGTAGGCCTTCTAAAATAGATTTCTAATTTGTTCATATTTAATTCTTAAAATGAGTAAAATTAATAAATATTAAAATAAATGAAAGGTATTTAATAAGATTAGAGTGCAACTAACAGGAATGCGTTTCGTTAGAGTTAGAATAGAATGACAAAGAAATTTAGTATTTAATAATATATTTTACTACTAAGTGATTGGTTTGTTTTTTATTATGCGTCAGCGTCGGACAGTAGCTTTCTATTCAGATATAAAGGTTGTTATAATAGATTAACTACTTTCGAATAGCTTAATGGCATAAATGAATCATCAGATATTCAATGGATTGATCAATTCACAAAGTTTAGTCCTGTAATGTGATCTATATCGAAGTGCATAATTTTATACAAGCATTAGAAGCAAAAATTTGGAAATAGAGACTTTACCGGCTTGAAGTTGAAAAGTTGTTACTTAATCTATAGAAACCAGAGTAAAGTTAAGAGATAAATTAATGTACTAAAGTAGATAGAAATGTGAAGAGATAAAAGTAAGGCGTTCCTGTGAATATTTAACATTTTAGTTATAAATGCTAAATTTCTCAGTTTAAGGAGTTTCAGAGAATAATCGTTACAAAAATGAAACATTTGTCATTATTTTTCAGAAGTTAAAAACATTTAAGAGTAAAAATGTTATTTATCAGCAACAGATATTTTTTTATTTCAAATTTTTATTTTAACTGCATAAGGAAAATGCTATTTTAAATACATAAAAAATTATCGAATGAGAGCGTTTTAAATAATTGATCTTATTTAATGTAAAAAAAAAAAAAATCCAAAGTTACTGATTAATACACACCAGTTAATATTACTGAGGAACAATTTAATGTTTCATTAAATAAATATATTCTGATATTAATTCTAAGTGGTTGAAATAAATATGGAAGAAAATAGATATGTTCTAACCAATTTTAAGATAAGTAAAAATATAAATGATTACATTGCTAAACTTTATTTATTAAAATAAAAGAGAAACGTGCGAGAAATATTTGTTAAAAGCAATGCAGAAAAAATAAATAATTTAATTTTCGAAACAGTCCAAGTCTAAATGGTTCGATATAAATTAACTATGGAACTCAAGAAAAGAAGTATAAATATATATAAATTAATTATTTATTTACGCGATTTTTTCTGAAGGAGATCTCCAAGGCACGTCATCATCCATTTCATCTTCACTCTCATCAATCTCATCCTGCGGTGTTGCAGAAATGTTAAGGGTTGACGACGTGATCATGTCTGGTACGGGAAGGATGCTGGGCCGCCGAGAACCTATTGTTTAATTTTTTTTTATAAAAGTTTTCTTGATTAGAGAAAATTTTACCGATTAATTTATTTAATAAAATATTTTCATGACCATCATATCAGAGATTAACTTTACCTCTCCTCTGATTCAGAATTTCAGGACTGAGCAAATTGGGGTTAGTTTCGGGAGGTTTGGGCACTCCCAAATGGTTACCAGTGCTGCCGCTAACCGAATCTGCCATCATTGTTGTTGTGATCACTTCTTTAGTCTTAGGAGTTGAGAGCATCGTCTCGATTGTTTCTAAGAAATTCAAAGAAAAAATAGAATTTGTAAATAAATTAAAATTTATAATCATTTCAAACTTTATAATATCACATATATTTTATAATCACCCTCAGTCTTTGCTTGGGGAATCTGTTCTTGATTGGCCACTACGAATGCAGAATTCTCTTCTTTGGTAATCGACATGTAATAGCACGTATCCGTCCTCTTCATTATGTGCCTTGGCCCCGGATTCAAGAGAATAGTGTCTTCGTAGAATTCTGGCAACTCTGCAGGACGAACTCCAACCAGCGCGACACCATATCTTTAAATCATGCAAATTTTTTATTTATTAATTTTTTTTTAATTTATTTATTTAGACATATAATATTCTGTCAAGGGGACAATAATTATATTGATAAATGAACACATTCACACCGTATATACAAAAAAAAAAATTAAATTAACAAAAGTAAAATAATAACTAAATAATAAAAAATAAAAGTTATATACAATAAAAAAATAAAATAACCTAAATATAAGTAAATTAAAAACATAAAAATACAGTCATACCTATATACAATATATACAATCAGGCGGGGAACCGAAATCCCTGCGCTCCCAACCGCCTCACTGGTGCTAATGCCGGTAGAGTTTGAGCGAGAGCGCTTTAGCCACATACACTCATGTCTTGAGTGGAGAATCTGGCCATTGCCAGAACTCCAAAATAAATACTATAAAAGATTTCTGGGCCACTGCTGCTTCAACCTTCGAGGAGGGTTGTTGTAGGGATGAGTGGAACTAGATAGGGATTGGGCTAGGGGATTTGGATGATTGATAAGGTTCTGATGGAATTTTGAAAAATTTTCAGGGATAAGGTCAAGGACAAATGGGATATTAAAGTCATAATGTAGGGTTTTTTTGGTTACATAGAACGGAGCATTGACTATTGTTCGGAGGACTTTGGATTGAAAGGATTGGATGCGTTTGATGTTAGAGAAGCAAAAATAATTAGTCATTTTTGAAAAAAAGTAAAGAATTGTGTGATTAAAAGTATTCTATGTAGCGATTGGAACACAACACAGGAAATATTTTTCATAATCCATTTCCTCGTATTTCAAAAATGTACTCTTAATGGCAAGAATTCTCAAATTAGCGGCCATGGCAATAATATATACTTTCAATATTTAAGGTCAATGAAGTCCAATTTGGTGAAAAGATATTCTAAAAATTAATAATTTTATATTTATTAATAAAAGGATTAAAATCATTCACATTTAAAGTAATAAGTGGATAAAAATGATTTAGTTAATATATATTGCACAAAAAAAAGGTAAAAATTTTATTATAATAAAGCGTTAAGGATAAATGTACTTCTAAATTATTTTATTCGGCCAAGGGTGCTGTGAATATTTTTCAGGTGCCTCAAAAAAATTGTTGGTCCTACAAGAGTGCCAAGAAAAATATTTTATCTTTTCAAGGGTGCCTTTACAAAAAGTTTGCTCTATGGTATCTATTAAACATAGAACATTTAAAACTTGTCATAAATTAAATATAATAACTGTCTGCTATAGAACTTTAATATCTTAATATGATATAATAATATTGAAAATTTAATTTATTATTGTAAAGATTTAATTTTTTTCATTAATTTTTATTTTAACTAGGTAATCTTTATAAATATATATATTAAAATAATAATTTGGAAAATTGAGTACAAAATATGATTAAAAATGTGATAATTTACTAGTGAAAACTTTATAAAAAAACAAAAGTTAAAATCATCATCCGACGGCGCTCAGTCCTTTTAGAACCTTGGCCTCCTCTACTATCTTCTTCCAAACGACCTGTCTTCGGCTGCCCTTCTCCGTCTACCCACACCCAGGCCCCTTAAATCATCTTCGACATCTTCCAGTCAACGAAGTCTAGGCCTGCCTCTTTTCCTTTTTCCATCCGGATGTCCATTATCATTTTAGGAAGCCTACCATGTTCCATTCTTTGCACATGATCCAACCATCTTATCCTTCCCCTCTTTATGGTGGATATAATGTCTGGAGCATTACATAGCTTCTTCAGCTCATCATTTGTCTTCATTCGTCAAAGATTTTCTTCTTTGATTGGGCCATAAATTCTAAGAAGGATTTTTTTTCCTACCTGTTCAATTGTCTATTTTCGTTGAGTGTGTGTCCAGCACTCGCTTCCATATATAACAACTAATTGCATTTTTTTTTTAGGAATCAATAACATTTATTACCAGCTGTGATCCTTGCATTTATTTCTGCTTTTATGTTGTTATTCTCAGTGATAACAGTGCTTAGATACTTAAATTGTGGTACTCTTTCTAAACGATATCCAGCTCCCTCGATATATCTAGTGCCTTTAATCTCCCTCTTTGTTAACAAGTATTTACTTTTATCTTTATTTCTGACAAGTCACCTTGAAATGAAAGGTGAAAACTCACCTTGAATTTTCATCACACCTTCGTTATCCTGCAGGGTCATCATAACAGGCCTGATAAGCTTCGGCGGGCATTCCAAAACTATTAATCTTTTATACATTTCATTTCTCACAATACTGTCACAGGCGCGCTGGTAGTCATTAAAAAGGTAGTGATGATTGTTAACAAAAGTTAAAATAGAAAAATAAATTACTTTTTATAATGGAAATCAAAACATTACATTTGATCAAAAGAAAATAGATGGCAGAATTGATTTGACATTTGTGGAATAGTTGAGAATATTATTCATTTTGTTTATTTATGTGTTAATATTATTGAATAATTAAACATAAAATATTTTAAAAAATTTAGCTTAAAAATAATAGATGTGCTATTTCTTCGACATTTATAATTTCTTCCTTACTTCTATCCATGGTTTATCTTCGGGATGTAGTAGACAGCCCCCTGTATTTACTCCTTTATATGACATTGTGTGAGGGAATGAGAAGTAATGTATAGGAATGTGAGGTTGCACTGTGAATTGTAATCAATTGTACAGTGGACAAATTATTCATTGAAAAGGCTCATATTGATAAATAATCGATGAAGAAGGAAGAAGGTTGGAGGTACCGAAAGGTAGCAACAGCTAGAGAGGGGAGAGGGCATTCTAGGCTGGGATAGGTAAGAAGGAGGTTGTCAGAAGAGATGAAGAGGGACTTGAGGCGGAACACATACCTGGGAAGAGAGTCTACTACAAGATTTAGAAGATCAAGTCTATAGTTATAACACTTTAATAGAGTCAATTTATTCTAGTTGTGGAAATAAATCATTTTGTTATACAGGAGTGAAAAGTCATTTATTTATTTAGTTGTCCTATATGCCTCACAATTGAAGAATAACAAACCAAGTGAGTCAATTCATTCAAAATGTATTTACTAAGTCCCACATTTCAAATAAATATTCTTATTGTTTTTTCTTACTCAGTTTCACAAAAGGTATTAGATTCCCGAATTCCCAACAACAGTTAAACACCCTCAAAAAGTCTATATCCAGTGCCGGGGTTTTGTTTTAATTATCTCGAGTGTAAATAACCTGGTTCCCCGATATAAAAAAGAGAGGCTATTCCCTATCCCCGCAAAAAAAAAACAAATTATTTAAAATTAACTTTTAGTAGGTTATTTACAGGGATTTCTAAAAATATGATAATGTTTTAGTCCAAATAAAAACTTTTCCTCAGACCTTGTCTATCAGAACACATATGACCACCACCTGGCTAACTAAAGATCATCTGGTACAGTAATAATAAAGTAATGAGAATATTCTTTTAGCAATGCTTACTTTCTGTGAGAATGGAAGCTGGCGTACGTGAACGATTTGCCTTCATATTCACCAAAGAACCTCGAATCCTCCAGCCTGATGTGGTAGATCTCGTTCCCTGAACACCTGCCGTAGAGTCGGTGCCACTCTTCGGAGGAGGTCTGCCCTTCTCTGTAGAGATGATGTGGTAACTGTTAATAATAATCAAATAAACATAAAATATATAAATAAATTAAGTATACTGACTGCCCCCTTGAGGTGTGGAGAAGGAGGGTGACGAGGGTCGAAGCACCTGGGCAGGTGCAATTGTTGGCCAGCAGAGCATACTTGAGCTCGTCCTCGCAGACCACGTGCTCTGCGAACTTGACGTGGAGCTTGTTCTCTGGCCTGAAGATCTGGACGTACTGCGGCACAGAAGGTGCAAAGTCCTTCACAGCCCAGGACCTGAGAATGGTGTGTTCATCCTAGACAAACATTGTTAGTTAGTTAATTTATCGGCTCAGATGAAAAAAAATATAATGAAGCATATAAGTAGTGGCTGTGAAATGATTATTTTCTGTTGGAGGTAAGTCGTGAATAGTCAACCCAAAGGTAAAAGAAGTTATCATTTAATTTATTCGGACAGCTCATAGTTTGGACTATTCAGTTGAAACCAGAAAATAATACAGGATATTTAGTTTTCTTTAAAATACTCCTTTATATAATAAACATAATGGGTCTAAGTATTAACCAAGCTAAGACCAAATCTAAGACTGCCAACTCATCAAGATCACCACCACCTACAGTTACATTTGGTGGATACACTTTTGAAAGCACAAATAATTTTGTGAATCTAGGGTCCTTAGTTTGTGTAGAAAATATTCCTAGCCAGGAAGTATAGAGAAGAATTACATCAGCTAATACTGGTGTTGTTATGGTCTGGCTAAAATATTAAGAAGTCATTTGCTGGCTAGATCCACAAAGATCGCTCAGTACAAATCTCTTATTAGACTTGTGCTGACTTATGGCTCAGAAAAATGGCCATCACAGGTTTTCAAGAGAAAAATCCTGAGAAGGATGTTTGGCCCAGTAAAAGTTGACAATCAGTATAGGCTAAGGCATAATGTAGAGTTGTACTAAATTTACCGAGAACCAGATGTGGTGCAATTTATACAGCTCTCTAGGCTAAGATGGGCTGAGTATGTCGCAAGGATGGACGTGGACTAATAAAGCTATAAGCTGGCAATAATGAAGCTATCTTTGGTCAATCGGAAGAGACCCATTTTATTGCATGACAACGCCCAGCCACATGTCTCAAGTGTGATGTCACAAAAACTGTTGTAGCTTGGATATGAAACTCGGCCACATCCGCCTTACTCTATGGTATATAACGTTTATTAATATATAAACACTAAGGTATATAATCTCTTCTACGGATTATAATTTTTTTAGACATCTTGATCTCTACTTAAGTTACAAAAAATTTAATGGACAAAGCGAATTAAAAAATGCGTTTTTGGAGTTTATCAATTCTCAAGATGAGAAATTCTATTCCGAGGAAATGGAAAAGTTGCCAACACGATGGCAGAAATGTATTGACGGTAGTGGAGACTATTTGATTAAATAAAACAATTGTAATTCTTTCTTTTTTCTTTTTAAACCAAAATCCTGCATTATTTTTTAGACAACCCAATACAATTCAGTCCTCCTCCTTGGCGCTAAAGACAGATGTGTAGCATTTATCAATGCAATCAATCACCAACAAATGCTCGGAGGCCATAGTTTGGAAAACTCTGGTTTAAATGAAAGACAATGTGAACTTATGATGTGTTGGTAGTACTGATGTATCATCAGGTTTTGCATGACAGTTGACAGTATCTGTAGATCTTAATTACACTAAATAACTTAACAGTTTATTAAATACATGAACAGTTTTCGCCAATGTATAAGAGAATATGAAACATCAAATTGGTTCTGCATTTTGCTTAAAGGAATATTTTTTGCATTGATTATAATTTTTAAAAAATCCATTTTGACGGAACAATCAAGTAGAATTAAGAATTAAGTTCAGTTTACCTATGGTTAATTATGGTGTTGGTGTGGAAACATTTCTCCAAGTGTATCTAAACTAGCTTATGTAAGAATATAAAATTTAATATTGTATTTTTGTACAAAAGAATTACCTTTAGAACATTTAATTTGTTAATGTATTTGTTTACCACTGTTGAATTAATAAAACTAAAATACCACTGATTCCTCTCAATAAAATTTTATCCCTAAAAAAAGGCAACCAAAACATGTTATTTCCACATCAGGTTATTTTTAACGATCAAACTAAAAGTGAAAAAACTGGAGTAACTAATAACCGATTAGGTTCTAATAACCGTTTCCTCAGTCACAGTAACTGAGGAACAACCAATAAAAGCCGTGACAGAGAATAGGATGGGATAACGATTCTTAATGATTTTTTAAAATTAAAAAGGAAGTAGAGAATTGAAAGAAATAAGTATTTAAATACCTACAATTTTGTTCATAAACATGCTAAATAAAAAACAAAAGAACATAACTAATAACTTATCTTTTTTCGTTTACTTATTAATAATAAGTAAACGAAAAAAGAGAACAAAAATGTTACATGCACTTTGTGTACAATTAATAGAACTTACTATACGTATCTCATAAATAAAAAGTCATACAATTATATATGATTAAGATTTCTGAAGAAAAAACGTATATATTGAGATTCATAAACGATTTATGTAACTTTTAATATTGCCACCAAATTAATCAATGTTCCCAGTAGCAGGTTTGTTTTGACAAGTAATGGCAAGGAGGTATAAATTTAGAGAAATTAGATTTCTCTCGTGATAATGGAGTTCAACATCTTTGTCTATTATAACTTCCAAGTTGAAAATCTAATACTTCATTCTATTGCTTTAAACTTGATTGACTGGGATAAATATTTAAATAATATCGTCGCCTGTCTCGTTTTACACTTTAGAAGCCAAATTATTTGATCTTTTCCAATCGCTTGCGTGAGAGGAACAACTGAAATATAACACAAAAGGGGTATTCATGCAAGCAGTGCTAAGTATTATTAACTTATTAAATGCGTGACATCGAGAAAATTATTTACGAAATATGTGTTAAATATGGCCTAAGTGTACTAGCTAGCACTCTCTAACGCAGCCTAAGTCCCTGTAAAGTTTTGCTAATTTCGTAAATACGTAGAGAAGGTTATTGTAGGGTTTTGATGTGTTTGATTCTATGTTTTTTATGTGTTCAATATCCACAGAAATTGAATGTAAAGATAGCTGGAATTTCATCTATATATTCATCAATTTCTTTGTCTTCTGAATTTTCATTCATGCATTCTAATAAAGCATTTTTAACCAAATAATACATCAACTCAATCTTTTCACTTCACTTTGGAATTTTAAAAATAAATCAAAACGTTACTAAATCAAGTAAGAATTCACAAACTTTGTTTACAGTACAGGCATAACTTTACTATAACTAATAACACTTTAGCACATCAATACAGATAGATTATTTATCATTCATTCATAATCTGTGCTGAGAACTTAGCATGATAGCAAATTAAGCATTTACAATAAGTGCAAGAATAATCCTAAAAATAAAATGTGATGTATTAAAATGTTAGTCACAGATTAAATTAAAAATCGATGGTAAAAATTTGACGATAAAACATATAATTTAAATCTTTCCCAATTCCTTTTAGAGGGATAAAGACATTTTCTGTCTCTTTTTTGTTGTTTTATTCAACCACTAATGCTTGAATGTAAAATTTATTTAAATAAACAAAAAACAACACTTTAAATACATGAAGTTAAGTGCAAATATTTCAAATACAAATGAGTTTAATTGCATCTAAATATATTTATTTGGACAAATATTGGTACAGTGGATCAAACTGAAATATTTAACTCCATTCTGTTTTCAATATGGAGCAGTATCGGAGGAATATTTTTCCCAAATCATAGATTATGAACAAAAACCTTCACAAACATTTATGTTTTATATGGACCACTATTTTGAGTCCAAACCCTTTTTCACTTTGTTTTCTCAAGATACTGTGAGGATTTGGATTCGATGAAAAATTGGAGCCAGTCCAGCAATTCTGTGCCAACGGTGCCTCATGTTCAACAATAGGGTTAGAGAAAGAGGTTTTCCTTTAGAAAGTATCGTTCGAGCTGAAATAATACTTTATGGATAAATATGACGATTGTTAGCAATATAAAGATAGATCGTTTCATATCGATGAGTACAAAACGATCATATTTATTACTCGATTAATTGTAAGTGATGCGACACGAGGGTATGTTTTTCGGTTGTCTGCTAAGAACTATGTAACTTTGTGCGAATGGCTGGATTGATGTTTAAGTTTGATTGTTCAAATTATTCGGTAAGATCTCCTGAGTGTTTTGAATCAATTTGAGCAAAAAATATCGCTCTATTTTAAAATAAAATGTGTTTCTCTTCTCAGTTGTGGAATATGTTCAACTAAATCATAGTAATTATTATTAAGAAATTCCAGAAATGTGCCTTTATTGAGTCGATGTGGCAAAGAATGCGGACCTATTAAAATATTGTCTATTATCCCCAACCACAATGCACAGAAACTGGTGCTGAAAATAATACTCACGAATTGCATAGTTATTTTCCTGCGAGTAGAAATGATTATTTTTCTGATTGAAGATAAATCTTCTTTTAAAGGTAGCTTCTTCTGTACAAAGAATTTTTCAAGAAAATTGTGGATTATGAACAACATTTAATATGAATGTTAATGTTTAAATTAAGTAGTTCGAACAAATAAATAGGTTTTATTTTTTTAATATAACGTAAATAATTCATAACAACGAAAATATTTAGGTGTGAATATCTTCTAAACAAAGTGGTTGCGGACATAACTTCAGAGAAAATGTTTTCTTGTTTTGAGATTCTTAGTTCATTTTTGCAGTTTGGCTACTTAATCCAGAAACGCCCTGTACTATGGCCATTACAGGTTCATGGCATGAGAAATGAACGAATGAACTCCTTAGCAATCCTCTGTATACTATAGCCCTAAGGTACTAGATAGATAGAAAAAAAAAACTTTATTCTGGGACTAAGTCCCTTAAGAATAACAAAATTTTACGAAAGAATAGAATACTACTGGCCTAAAAGTGTGAAACCATAAATAAATTTGATATAATACAATAAAAAGTAAAGAAATCCTTAGGTGAACAAGCTATATACAATACAGATAAAACTATGTACAGAGAATTTAAAGCTATTAACAAAACTATATACAAGGGTTGAACAACATAGACATACACTGAGAAATGAAGAACGAAAAAGAGATAGAATAAGTTCATTTCATAATAAAAGTTTACTTGTATATATATATATATATATAATATATAAGTTAGTTATAATTGAATAAAAAAAAAAATAGATGTATTGAAATTCCTACGTCGGTAATGGGAAATGCATGTAATATCTCTTACCAAGTATTATCATATGATTATATGATTGCTACACAATACATATATAGAATTAATAGTTAGCTGGTATCTGACTGTTTTTGAGGAGGTTTTTGAATGTGTATAGGGAGGGGGCATGCCGAATTTTGATCGGAAGGGAATTCCAAAAGTTGACAGAGGAGGCTATAAAGGAGTTTTGGAATGAGGCAGATCTATGAAAAGGGATGTATAGGTCAGAGGGTCGAGATCTTATAGTGAGGTAATGGATTGAGTACTTAAATTGGAGATGATTGTAGGCATAAGAAGGACGATGATTGGTAATGATACTATAAGGGACTATAACACTATAAGTTGATTGAGTACTCACTGCGGCGGTTTTGTCGGCGTAGTTCCTTGCGGCGAGGACGAAGCAGGCTTCTGCCTCGTTCATCCTGGCCCTGGCCAGATCCACGTCCTTCAGACAGCTACCCTGGATGTAGATGACCCTCTGCGCCCAGATCGGAACCTGCAGGATCATCCTCATCGTCGTGTCCAGCTCCATCGGCGAGAGCAGTACCACGTAGTAATCCTAACGGGTAAGGAACGACTGTTATTAAATATTTACATAATGATATTTCTTAAATATAACTTATTTTTTTGCAACACTACAACTACCATTCCCTATAGCACTCCTGTTCAAAGCTCATGCCGCATATACTTCTTCTTCTTCAATACCCTTAAAAATGCCTCTTGAGGCGACCAATGAGGTCACTAAATGTACCACGAAGAAGAAGGACTGGACTCTATTTACTGAGCAACAATCATTATTATAAATACAGCTCAGCTTAAAAAATGTCTAGTCTAAGGGTGCATTTAGGCATTTCAAAAACTATGGAACAAACAAATATATAAATAGTTCTTTCATTTGCATATTTTCGTTTCTTGTTTCGGAAATTTCCCAGAGGCCTATTCCATAATAAACTACAAAATAATAATATTAGTCTAGTAGCTTGTCGAGATCTTGCTGAATAATTTGAGCCAAAAAATTTAAAATCGGTCGAGCCGTTTGCTCTAAAAAAAGCTACATAGCTATGGTTCAACCTAAATGCATTACTCTTATTATGGCTTTGTCGTTGTTCGGTAATACATAATATATGTATTACCGAACTCTTCCTTGTCGACTTGTGCGTAAATCCGTCACCACATTAAACCATTATGCTAATAATAATTTTAAAAGTAAGTTCCAGTATCCTGAGCAACAAATATTATAATTTTTTATAATGAATATAATGAAATTTACTTAAAAAAAAAAAAAACATTTGTAAGAACACCTCGATACAGTGAAACTTTTGTATACCGTGTAGGACACTGATGGAAATGGCAGAGATTGTCGTGATAAATGCCATCTTGTAAATAAATGCCATAAATGCCACAAAATCGTTCTATCAAGTCGATTCCTATTTAACAATGAAGATAATAAGGCTTAGCGAATCCGAAGTTTTAATGCCGATACCACCAATCGTTGAATAACTTCTTCCATCCATCGGGTGCCGTCTAAACCCAATCTCGCCTTATCAGCCTTAACGTAATCTTCTCACCTACACTTTGGTCTACCTCTCGGGCACTTGCCAGTCGCCACAGTGCATATAAAGTGTTATTCCTTCGTTACTGAGCCCAGCGATTTTACATGCCCATTTTATTCGCCTCAACTTAATCATCTCAAGTATATTAAATGTAGTTTTGTAAATGCCTATATTCTCTGGTTGATTCATCCTTCTTAGGTCTGAATATTCTGCGTATTAATTTATTTTCAAAAACCTTAAGACGTTGCTCATCCTTTAATGTAAGCGCCAACGTTTCTCATCTATAGATAAGTCGATTCCTGTTAAGGCCATGGTTTGTTATTTTTATTGTCAGTATCTGAATGATCCTTCATTAAGACAGTGCAAATAGTTGTGAATTATGTAGGCAAACCAGAGAGTTAATATTTGACTTGAGAGGTAGGCCCTAAGGTGGCGCGGTATAAGAGACAGCGAACAACTCTTAAACTATTAAAGCAGATAGGACAGCGCTAACACATTCAAGCCGTAGGGTTCTGTGGTTAACTGCGGCGGCTGGGCTGCCTCTGCGGTGCTGCTCTCTATTGTTATATTAATGTAATAAACTCTAGCAGTGTTTTGGGTCTGTTTTCCGTCGCATCTTTGCTTGTAAATTACATAGTCCTGTAATAAATATTGTTACAAAGAAATATATACATATGTCAACAGAAAAATTAATTTTTTCAAACGTTTTATTAGAAAATAAAATGTATATCTATAGACAGTACACAAAAAGAAACTACTCAAAATGTCCTCCTTTTGCCTTGAAACAGGCATATAATCTCCGTGACCAGTCATCAATAGCAGCACGCAGCACTTCTTGAGGGAAGATCTCAACTGCTCTGATCAGAGATTTTTGGAGGCTTCTCCAGTTCAGACCAAAGCCGATAATCTAGTGGATTGAGATTAGGGCTTCCTGAGGGCCAATCCGAGGCAGATATGAAATCTGGAATGTTCTTTTTCATCTACTATAAAGTTGACCTGGCCTTGTGTGAATCCTGCTGGAAAACCCAATGACTTCCAGAAAACAGAGTATCATTTATAGGCTTGAACACAGGTTTCAAAATATCGTCCTGATAGTTTTTAGCGGCTGCTTTAACTCCTTTTTACAGAAATCGAGCTTTGTGGTGCAAAGAAAACTCAAAATCAAAGCAAACTCCCCTACCAAGCCATCACGGAGAAAGAGTGATGACGTTTTTCCACTCTTCTAATGACTTCCTGGACTTCTTTAGAGTTGTGTGTGTACACACGATCATTTTGGCAATTACATTTTTCTTCAATTGTAAAAATTTTCTCATGGCTAAACAAAATCTTTCGAGGAAGAGCATCAGTGTAACGGCCAAAGAGCACTTTGCAACTATCCACTTTAATTTTTTTTATGGGAAATGGTTAGCCTTTGTCCTGTCATTCTTCGAAATGTAATCATCCTAAGGTCACTTTTAATTATGCGAGACATTGTTCTGACATAGATTCGCATTTTCCGAGACATGATTTGTTGTTTTCGAATGGAATTTCTTCTGATTCGAGCAGCCACTGCTCTCATTGAATTTGCCGTTCTCACATAGTGCGGGAATGGCACGGTTGAGGTCTGTCACATACAGATAGGGTCTGATGTAAACAACTGTAGAGCTTGAATATGGGAACAATAAGGTCTTGAAACATCATCAAAATAAATATATTGATTAATTAAACCTCAAGATCATATGAAAATATACCCATAAAGAACCGTTGGTAACATAATAGATTTACAATTTCTAGTTTTTAAGTTCCGGGACAAGATGTAATTTTGTAATGAGCTAAGTAATTTTGTCACAGAAAAATAATAAGCTTTTCCCGCCTCCAGCCTAACCTTAATCTCCTCTTCAATTTCGTTTTTTCTAGTTATCGTAGATCCTAGACATCTAAACTTCTCCACCTGTTCAAATATATTGCCTTCTATATCGATATCACCAGCAATATCGTCATTTTTGCAGCTAACTCTATATTTTGTCTTATCCGTATTTATTTCGAGCCTTAGTTCTTTATCGGCTTTCATTAACGTTGTCGTATTTAGTTTTATAGTTTCCGTGCCAAGTACGGGTGTTGTCCCATCCAGATCTAAAGCTTTTTCGATACGCATTATCTCCCTAATGACATGATCTAATGCTAAATTGACTTGAATCCAAACTTTTCGGGTAAATTATTACCGATTCTTACTAAGTTGATATGTATGAAATCAAAATAAAATGTTTACAGCACCAGTTTCTTTATATAATGCTACAGACCGTATATATAATATACACATATTACAAACATATATCAGCTATAACCCATTCTGAAATAAAAATTTCAATTTTATAAAGGATCAACTTCTACAAATTGCTTACCTGCAACACCTTAGGAGTGATAATGGAATCCAAGAGACTTACCTGAAGAAGTGGATGAGCGTAGAACTCGTTGAGGAAGTCCATGATGGTGTCCGCGTGCAGCGTGGTACTGCAGACGACCACGTGCTTCTCGGACTGCGCCCTGTGTGAGCTGTAAGATCCTCCGAGCTTCTGCCGTTCCATCCAGGTGAAGGCGAGCTGCTCGAACTGCAACAGACAGACTGGGTTCGAGACCTTGCTTGGCTAACAGATATTAATGGACGGGTGCAACCAGCTGGGACTGTCATGTCGTTAGTTTTGATAAGGGAGGGCTTGCGTGAGCCGGGATGTCCGCTCTTAGTTAATGAATTCGCTTCCACCGTTCTGTAATCTTTTACAATTACTAGATATTACAAAACGCGAACAAAAGGCAAATATTATGAGTACGAACAAACTATTTTCAATTAAAAGAAAAATGAGCTCAAAATAGAAAAAAATAAATCAGCGAAGGAATTATCTCATATATCGGCGTTTAATTATATTAGGTTCTAAAATATCTTAAGACTGTCTTACACGGTCAGGCTTCAGGAACAGGTTGTTATATAAACTCAGTTTGGCGATGAAACTTGTACTGTGTAAAGTCACGGGTCCGATTATCGTCCGAAAGAATCCGAAAATGTCAAGACATATGCTACATCAGCGCTCCTTACTTACAAGAAAAGTATTATGCTGTGCGATCATTCCTGTTGTTAATGCTTGTATTAGCTGCTTAAAAATGTCTGTATGAACAATAGAACAAGTTTTTAAGTTAATAGATACTAGACTGAAACGACAAGAAACCGCTCGACGATTCCGATTACTTCAGCACTTACTAGACAAACGATCTAAGCTTCCAATTAATTACAAAAGACTCATATACTTGACTATAATAAGGCCTATTTGGCCTTACGGAGTTGAGCTATGGGGCTCCACTAAACCATCCAATTCCTCTCGCATCCAATCCTTATAATCCAAAATCCTTAATGCTCCTTACTTTGTTACAAATAAAACCATACCTTAATGTTTCTCTTGTTTCAGATCTGGCCCATTCCAGATACCTATCCTTCCATAACCAACTTTAGAAACATCCCAACCCTGTCGTTTCACACTCAGAAAGTGTTTTCATGTCATTATATCCTAGATGTATTTATATAATACAGTTGTAAATTTCACTAAGAAATAATAAAAAAAAAAGTTAATAGAACTTATAAAACTACGGTCATGTTTCTGGACTAAACTTTTAAAATAATTGAATTTAGTTTGCTTAGACTTAATCCGAAATTATTAAAAAAACTAAAATGTGTGGTTTAGAACACACGATAGAAGTGAAAACATCAACAAAGCGAGACAATTAATATGAAATATAAATTATAAACAATAATAGTTCATTACAAAGAGGATGAAATGAACATTTCCCTCATTAACAATATGCAGGTACGATATTTAGTTTCTGAGATATTTTAATCCAAATCTTTTAATGAAACTCGTTACAATTTGGTTTTCGATTCTATTTTTTCCCCTTTCGCCTCCCTAACACAGCGGCGCGTTATGATAAAAAATTGAATAATAGCTCATTACAAAGAGGATAAAATTATGAACATTTCCCTCACTAACAATATGCAGGTACGATATTTAATTTCTGAGATATTTTAATCCAAATTTTCAATAAAAATCGATGCAATTTGGTTTTCGACACTATATTTTCCTTTCGCTTCCCTAATTCAAGTTCCCCTCCTCATTGATAGGTTTGAAAAAAAAAATGAAAGAAAAAATATCCATACTAAAATAATATGATACAGATAACGTTTTGATTGCTTTAGAAATTTGTATTGTCTTAATTATTGTTATTTGTAGTTCAGAATCTGATTATCAGATCGGAATCCTACAAGTTATATTCTTATCAATGTTATAAATTAGTAACAAAATAATCAAGAGACAGAACATAAATGTTTGGTAATATAAGATAAGATAATAGGTAATGTAATATAATAACATAACCTAATTCTTATCAATATTTTTAAAATTATAATCGGAAGGCTTTTTCTTCTTTCGGTTATCTTGGAGTAACCTGCTCTCAGTGATATTGAAATCACCATTTTGGAGTAACGAAATGAAGCTATAAAGTGTGCTTCTCTGTGTTATAGTTTTGAAGCAAACACATCAAAACATTGATAGTATTTAAGCCTGTTAATCTTATGTCATAATTATTGTGCTAAATGCGGATATGTGAGACATATCCGGCTTTGACTATTAACGTAATGATTGGATGTCTAAATGACTGTGATTTAGGATTGTAGTTGGGCTCGATGTTATCAGGTTTAATTAATTTAATTACACAAAGGGAATTCGTCCTATCCGTATTGTTCGATAACCACTAATGTCTATCCACAAGTTAGTCAAATCTCACTCACGTAATGGATTAATGGATTAGAAAATAGACAATTTGAAGTTTTCATTTATTTATAATTTCACTTACCTATATATGAAATATATAGTAAAGGAAAGTTCTGCGATCGTAATAAATTTCGAATCTCAGTTTTCAACGGAAATACGCGTTTTGAGGTCTCCTGAGTCGAAATAACCGAGTACCGCAAAATGGTCTCTCTGTGTGTATGTCCAGATGTGTGTGTGTTAACAGTCAATCTGAAAAACGAAAAGTCGTACGAAAATAATATTGCATATTTAAGGTTTTTACATGATTGTGATGTTACAGTAACGTTTTGTCAAAATCGTCTAACCGGAAGTGGTACTTTATATCATGGACTTGATGATATATGAATTTTGATTAAATTCATTATATCAGTTTAAAATGAGCAGTTTTAAATAAAATGTAGGTTTTATTCTGATTGGTGTACTCTAACAAGGCTTAAATGGCTAATTTTCAATATTACCTTCCCTTAAAGTATCTTTAATTATTTTTATTTGAAACAATTGGCCATTTCATCTCTAATATAAAATATAGATAAATACAAAATATGAAAGTATTTGATAATTAACTTAAGCGAGAATAAGAGATCGTAACGGAGAATAGTTGTAATTGAGGAACCAAAAGAAAGCGTCCGAAAGATTAGAACAGGATTCCATACGTAACATGAGCTTAATATAATAGGGACTCCGACAATATTATATAAATATACATATGCGGTTTTCATAAATGCTATTGTTGGTATTATTTAATATTTAATTGTATAGATTTCAGCGATATAAATATCAAAATTTGTATATATAAGGATATTTAAACAAATACAAATGTCGCCTAACTCATTAAAATATTTTTCTACTGCAAATTCTGACATTTTTTTCATCCTTATAATTTCAACAGCCATCTACATACCCATCTCTAAAGTATTTTAGAATTTTAAATATCATTGTAAGTGACCAAGCAAAATATAGTTAATTTCTTTATCTCATAATACATTTCATGTACTTATTTCCATATTATAATACTAGTTTTATATATATATATATATATATATATATATATATATATATATATATAAATATAAATAATAAAAGTCTTAACGAACCCGAAGGTTCGATGCCGACACCACCAATCGCTTATTACACACCTCCCTCCACCGTTTGCCGTCCAAACCCAGTCCCTTCAGATCGGCTTTAATGCAATCTTCCCACCTTCGCTTCGGTCTACCCCTCGGACGCTTACCATTCGGCACAGCAAATATTAACCTTTTAGGAATTCTCTCGTTACTAAACCCAACAACATATATACATACAAACACTAGCGGTTCCAGGATTTAATTTTGGGGGAGGCTTCAGCCCGGAAGCTTTTTTTTTTCATATATTTTTCGATAATTACTTTGGAAAAACAGAAAGATACTAACTACCTATATGAAATGGTGTTTAAGTGATTCTTGAAGTCTTATTAAATGTAACGAGCAATAATACTTTAAGACATAATTTTTTAATATATTTGACCATAAAACAAGGTTACATTTTACCATTTTGGGGGGGGGAGAGGAGGCTTCAGCCAGAAACTCCCCCTCCCCCGTAAATCCGTCTGTGCATACAAACAACAATTATTGCAATAAAAAAAGAAAAGAAAGTAACTACCTATATAAAATGATGTTTAAATGTTTCATGCAGTCCTATTAAATACAATTACAAGAAAAATAATACTTTTAGAGATAAGTTCTTTATATTTATTACAAGGTTATGTCTTACCATTTATTGGTGGGGAGGGGGAGAAAGGAGGCTTCAGCCCTCTGTCCGCAGATCTATCTTTGTATCCAACTAGTTTATTTATTATTATTCTAATATTATTTATTTCTTTTTACTGGAAAAAAATCCAGTGTAAATTGATAATGATACTTACTATTAATCAGTACGTTAATATAGAGGCTGGTTGTCATAAGTTATGTACGCGATACAAGAGGTACTGTACCCCAAGCAATCATCCCAAAAATGTTGTTCAGTTAAAGTTACTTTATTAAAACACAGCCATCGTCAAAGACAAACAGCCCTCCTAAGGTAATGCATGTTGGATCAAGGTGGCGGTGGAAGTTGCGAAGAGCTATACAGGAAATGTACACGCGCTGTCGGGACAATAGTTCTCCTTTTCGGAAGATTATTAATAAAAGCAGGAAAGTGCGACAATGGATCCTGGAGGATTGTCAGCCCATTGTCGCTACAAGAAAACAATATTGTCGCTACAAGAAAACAATAACTGCCACGACTTCTACGTCGGCCTCTTTCTACAGGCTTTTCTCCGCCGCCATTGTCTGGCGATTTCAACGAGCGAATGAATGCTCGCTCTGTTTGAGAGGGGTAAAGCCCTCTTCAACATCCAAGACAACTCACTTATGAATGAGCAAGTTGAAATTTAAGGAAAACTGAACATCTAAATACCTTATATATGTATATAAAGGGTGTTTCAGGGCAAAAATGAACTAAGGACCTCAAAACAAGAAAATATTTACTCTGAAGGTATGTCCGCAAACCCTTTGTTAAGGAGATATTCACACCAAGAGATAATCGTTGTTATGAATCATTTACGTTATATGATATAAATAAAACCTATTTAGTTGTTCCAACTATTTTATTAATTAAACATAAACATTTTTTTAAAATTAATTATTCATGATATTTATAACTGTATTAACAAATAAAATACATCTAGTAAATTTGATAACAGAAAATAATAACATGAAATCACTTGTTGAGAAACTACC